GGCATGAAATTGCGCCTAATACAGGTGCCAATGTGACTAAATTTTTCACTTTGGCGACCAAATCTTGAGAATTAGTAGCCAAATTGGTGACTAGAATGTTTCATCACAACCATACTGAGAGACATAGTGAATCAAAAAGATTTGCAAAGATAAATCCGTGGCAAACTTCCTCGTTAAGTTTGTTTCCAAAACTCAGCACACGCATCTCAATTGATAACTAGACGCCATCTTGGATTTAGCTGAGCTTGAAAGTTGTATATCATCCATCCTAGTGTCTACTTTTCAGAACGTTAGATCTTTTCCCTAAATTAAATTTGGAGGGTTTATCTAGAACGTTGACAGCATAAAAAAAGGTTTCGTTTGTCTTTGAAAATGGCGACCAACTTTTTTTTAATTGGCTACCACTTTGAAGAATTTAGGAGCCAAGTGGCTAACAGAAAAAAAAATTAATTTCACGCCCTGTTTAAGTTTATCATAATTTGTAAGCTACCTTGACCTTTTGTCCTTCACTTGGTAAAGCACAGTTCAATGAAATGTCCTTACTGAGTAACACCACTTACACTTCCAAACCGCTAAGAAAAATAAAGCAATAATTCACGACAAGTACCACCTTTTCTTAATTAAACACTTTTCAAACTTATTTCAAACTTGACCCCACAGAACCTAACATCTACACAAGGCTGGCAATACACAAGTTTTCAGATCTATTTTTTATAAATGATCACCATTAGGACCCATGGGGATAACTGGATTATTAGTTTCATTTTTTTTTCTTTTCCTTCCATCATTTTAATGTATCAAATAAACAAATTGCATCTTAATTCAAATGCAAATAAAGGCTGCAACTTCTATCAATGCCAAGCCTTCAAATTAAAGCCATAGTGGTTATTTCAAACCCAGGGCTCAGGTTTACTCCAGCATTCATACAAGGCCAAGGTTAAGTCAGACAACCCTGCTGTGAAACCAAAAATATAATAAATCAGATTGCTCTCATTCAACATCACGAAAGCTGTTAGACTCATCAATTGCATCTCATAGTGTAAAAATTACTTTGCTTCCTGAAAATAAATTAAAAATCAATACTCAAAGCTCACCTACTGCAATTTTGAGCTAGCGACAGCACACCAAACTAGTAGACATTAGAAGCAGAGGGAAAAAGAAAACAAACCTAACTTGCACATGTACTAGTTATTTTCCTCCAAGAAGCCATTCAATTTCGAAATTTCAATTTGGTCAATGATAAGCTTTCATTAAAACTAAGAGTTATTATTGGTCTACTTTCATTTGTTGGTGCACTCTTAGCACAACAGATTTACAGAATTCTGAAATTTTCCACTTGATGCATAATGTTATATTGATCCTTAATTCTAGATTCATTTCAAGTCCATTATTTAAATACTTTAACTCCCACAATTACCGCTTTGATGTCTTGTTTTATTTACTTGGCATCTTAAGCTGCAGGTGATCTCTTTATCAAGTGACCTCTCTTTCATTAATTTGTTGTCCGTCTAAACTAAGTATAGTTACAAATAAATGGTGGTAAACCCCACAAATAAAAGTAAGACAGGTCAACGTGGTGTAGAATGTTGACCTCGCTCTTTTTTCAAGTGCTTTCGCTTCCTTAATAATTGAGGTTTGATCGATGCAGCGCAAAATTTAACATACAGTAAAAATATCTTGACCGATGTTCGATAAATGCTTGATTAATCATCTGTTCAGTTAAATACATATAATGCAAAGTATCCCGCTTATATAGCAGTAAACGGAATAAAACCAGAAAATTCACCCAACACTTTCATCCACTACACAAGAGAAATCTTAAATCCAGGCACATGCAAAAGTACAACAACATGGAAATGCCTGAGTTGAAGATATTCTGAACACAAATCAAAATAATTTAAGTGTGCTCTAGCTACAGCAAAGTACCAAAGAGTGTTCAACTAACATCGAAGACACTCAGCCACAGCGGAACCGCCATAAGAGTGTAAATCTAAAGCTAGGACTTACCTCGTGTAGACCAAGTTCCTTCGTCACACTCTCCAAACACTCTAGCCCTATGGCGTCTTTCGACAGCGTCACTTCTATGCAAGATTTGTCTGGTGTTTCGACAAGTATAGGAAGATACTTTATCAAATCATCTTTTAAAGGTTTTGTACATATGCCAAACGGCATAGCTATCCTCAAACATGAACAACGATATAGTTCTTATCGTATTTTTCCCTAAAACGATAATAGTTTACGCGCTTTAGCTAACAAGCAATCGCTTTCGCGAAACGTAAACCTCACAAACCGCGTTAAGACTGGTACTGCGATACATTCCTCACATTTCCGGAGGATCGAATGTCTCCGCCGTCAAAATTTTTTGGAGTGCCTGTGTGTCATGCAACAGGAGGACATGACTAGACTTGTTGTTGAAGAGTGCCTCGACCATTACGAAAGATACAGAAGAAAAAAGAGCAACTCAATTTATAGCCATCAACTGAAAGGATGAAATGATAATTTGTTGAACAGGGAGTTCATATTGATGGACTCTGGAAAAACTGAAGAAATGTTTGAATGTGACGAGCGACGAATTCCCATAATTAATATGCCATGACAATTTTAGAATTGATTTATTCAACATTTCGAGGAGACCCTGCGAAATAATGTCCTTTCAACTTCGATTCCACTCCCAGTTCCCAGTTCCCAGTTCCTACTTTTCACTATCCAATTCTGACTTCTGACTTCCGACTTCTGACTTAACATTAGTTACAAGAAAACGTTTTTTACAACTCATTCACCCACTTCATTCAGACTCCTTGTTCCATTTTGCCGTAGTTACGGAAGTGTAATCTTATTTTATTTGCAAATAACTCAGTTTTTTTTTGCAATCAATTACTTTCCACAAATGCTTTGCTTTGGAGCTGAACAGGAGAATAAATGAATTTGAGCCACCCTTACCTTCGAAAAGAGATTCTTTCAGAACAATTTTCTTTTTCCTAATTTCTGGCGAGCACCACGTGATTTTTTAAGTGGGTATCCTCCGGGCTCCTTCCTCCATCTTTCTGGGACGTAGTTAGCGAATGCTACAAAATATCGTCTTAGATTTTGCAGAGCTTAAATGCTGCAACAGATCTGAGGAAAAACGAAGGAAAGTACGTGATTATATATGTTCATTCTCATTATGTCACTGAACTTACTAACATTAGATTCACAAGATGTCATCGATGACGTCACTAGAAAAGACTCTAATCTTCGTTTGCAACTGACACACACGTGCGAGAAAACCTGCCGTCAACAAGCGTTACAACAATCTCTTTTAAGTTATAGCACTTGACATCAACGAAGGATTTTTCCAAGATTTTCCAACAGAAAGTAACGGAGTAACCGCAGACTTTGGTTCCTCCGACTCAAGAGTACGGGAACTTGATGCCCTCACAGTCTGCATTCTACTGAAGCTGTTTTTCTGAGAATAAGTAAATAGGGTGAGTAACACGTGGCTACGACACGAAACTACTTCTTTTACAAGGATAATCACTCGGTAATTGTGACATTCAAAATTCTGCCTGACTAAACAGCTGGTATTGTTATTATTTTATTTATTCAATTCGGAATGAAAGCCTTGTCCAAGATGCACGCACATCATATACAAACTTCCCTGCAAGATTTCCCAAATCTCAAAGCCGAACACATAGATCGGACTTCAGTTCGTGCCACCATTTTTCTTTAACTCTGTTTTGTAGGAGACTTAACTCGAGTAAATGTGGGGTAACTAATAAAGGAACCTTGTTAGGCCGCATACATAACATGCTTGGTATTACCTCTGTGGACATGAATAACTAAACCCCGACTGTGAAAATTGTATTCTTTTTGTTCTTTTAGACATAAACGAGCTAACATTGGAACAAACTCGGAGGGACAAATCAGAGCTAAACTAAGTGATCCATAAAATCAATCGCTTACTATAAACACGGGCAACTGTGAATAGAAACTTTCATGTGTTTTCCCGAAAAAAAAAGAAAAAAACAAAATTATCAAAAGAGAGAATTTTTTTGTATTTATTCAAAGTGCCATATTTGGAAACATAATTGCATTTATACAGCCTCTCAGTGATATTTGTAAAAGGAAAGATTGGATCTAACGCTAGCCGGAGATCTAGTACGCACTCTAACTAAAGCTCAGACCCAAATGTCAAAGGTATTCAAACTTGGTCATGGAGATCGTTAGGAACGATATGCCAGTCTGGCATGACAACCTTGTTTCAGTTAAAGACAAAGAAATATTAAGTTTAGGTCATCTCGTTCCTCTTACAGTCTTAAAATTACGTTTCAATCAAAATCCAACTGTCAAAGTAGTTTGACTTTTGGGAATTTTAAGAAAGGGGGATTAAAGAATCGGCCGTTTTCGATGAACTAATCAGAAAGCTGAAGATAAAAGAAAGCTTACTAAGCGAAACGGTTTAAACATGATTTGTCTCGCCCTATCTTACTAGAGTTCATTTCTCTTTGCTTCACCTCTCTCCAGTGGGAAGACAAGCAGAGCGATTTCATGATGGCCGGTTTGGTACACAGTTCTCTTGTCAGTACAAGTAGTGCTCGAGTGAACTCAATTTTCATCCATTATTTGAGGAATATCTTAGAACTTCGTCATCTTTGAATGGCCGTAAATCAGATGACATTGCTTGGTTCACAATTTTTTTCGCATTTTCGATGGCAACACCAAACTAGCAGCCCTATTTCCTACATGAGATAAACGTGAAAACTGACCTGATGCCTTTACTTCATTAAAACACAGAAAATTATTCCTCGTCTTTCGAATGAGTCACAAAAACATCCAACAGCAGAACAGAGTGGTATCTCAGCTGGATGGAGATGCAGCCGAGCTGTGGGAGAATTCTAGAACCCCGTACTGTTGGACTTAGAGGATACACACTCAAATCACCTACCGCAATAGTCATCTACATCAGAGATCTGACCTCCAAAGTCAGAAAATCGTCACGAGCCGGAGCTTACACCTACTAGATGACTTCTCCGGTGAGTTATAGGCTATGTAAGCTGTCTTATGGATGTTAACTGAAGAGTTAATGCATAAGACGTCTAGTAATCCTTTACCGAAACTTGATTTCTGCATTTAGAGTCGCTAGACATCCTGGAGTCGGTCCATAGTGATGGTTTTACGGCTTGAATTAGTTGTCTCTTCTACAAATGATTCATCACATGGCAGTCATCAGTGATCCTAAAATGTTAAGTTGCCTTATGAGATGATGTAATCATGTGCTAAATACTTTTTGCATGCGGCGGGTTATTTTTATCGTTTTCTCTGAACTTATCCCGCATTATAGTTCTGTAGGTCACGCTCTTACGCAACTACTGGAACTCGTAAGATCCTCTATCGCTTTAAGACATGAAATCAGTCTTTAAAACCACATTCTGTTCAAGTGCCAGTCGCACAAAGACAGATCAAGATACTCCACTTAGAAACCTACCAGTTTTGCCATCGTGTATTTTTAGCTCACGAGCTGCCCCGATTCCCGTATAACCTGACGACAGCTGGACTCTTGTCAACGTGCTAATTTCAACCAAGTTCCACCAACTGCGCGAGTAAAGTTTAGAGTGTTCAAATATTCGTGGAGCTTTACAGTTGCAAAGAAACAAAGGAATTACGAACAATGTGCCCCCTTACCAGCTAAACATGACCTAGCACAGAATCTTGGACACGCAAGTAGCTGGTTACCAAAATTAGAAAATTCGAGTTGTAAGAAAACGTCAAATTACATATACAGCAAAGATTTTTTGTTTCCTTGAGAGGTGACGACTAAGTCGTTGAACACAGGGAGCTTTATAGAAAAGAAAACAGAAAAATAGGAATAAGAGAAGAAAAATGAGTAAGTCGCTCCAATGAATTTGAATTGGACCACACACTGATAGCATCTGGTAAACTTACCACGTTCATTCTGTTATATCCTGAACTTTCCTGCCTTGTTCATAGATTTTATTTCTAATCCGTTTTAAATAATGTTTCTTGCTGAAAAAGATATGGCAGCAAAATTACGCGCGGTGACCTTCTTGGGACTACGAGAAGTCTCCCCTGTTGCCCAACCACGTAGGCTCTTTACTGAGTTTTTCAAGTAGCGTATAACAGCTGTTCTCGTACTTTTAGATTGTATTTTTAAATCTTTCTTCTTATAAAGGTAAAAACGTTTAGGTCAGTGTTGAAAGTGCACCTCGAGTCAACCAGATACACAGATTGTAGGAAAATATTTTCAGTAGGGACGAAAGTTTGCTTCCTGAATGTAAGTGTTTTAAAACACAAATTCCATTGTCCACTTTTATACACAAACAAGGTTCAACTGCATTTTACATCTACTGAACGTCATTGTCCCCCCCGGCCCTTCCCCCCCCCCCCCCATATCGTTAACGTAGCAAATTTAAAGTCGTTTAAGATCTTTTATTGTTACTTTTTTATCATCATTATTTCCTTCGTCTATTTCTTCCTATTAATTTATTTATTTATCTAATGATCATTTCATCTTACGCCCCAAGTTAAGTATTTGTCCCTAAATTACCTGACCCATCAATTCTTACGATCAGTTCTTGACATCGGACTGATATTGTGTGCTACACAAACAAGTCACGAATACAAATCTTGGACTACACTGTTTCGTTTTGTTTCATTTTGTTTCATTTTGCTTCACTTTTGCTCAGAGTTTGCATTTTGTTTTGTTTTGTCATGTCTTTTTCTTTTTGATGTCGTTCAGAGATACTAAGCATGGTTTTAGTAGTCGATAGGTGTGCGAAGGTGTGTTAGGAGAAACTAAACGGAAGCGACGTTTTAGATTAACACATATTTTTGGGAAACCCTGTATGAAAGCAATTAAGGACTTTCTGTGTGCACATTTCCTCCTCTGAATGTGCACCAGGCCGATTGAGACAATTGACAGAATTTGTGAAAATACCAGACACAGTCGAGGGTTTGCACAAACTCGAATTAATTCAACCCCCTCGTGTTTCTATTGCTCAAACCATTTTTCCATTTCAGCTCCTCGTCTCCGTGTTGGTTCTTCGCTCATTAATTGCAACTACGAAGACACCTGTGAGGAGCACAATAAAACCATCGGTAACACAAAATGATTCGAGAACTCCAACAGTCCATGCATCATCGCCAAAAGGTTTAGTTCCAGACGTCGGAAAGCCTTTATTATCTAAACCACCATCAACATGGGTGGACGTTCGCTTGGTGAACAAAAGAGGGTTTTATTTGATCATGTTTGAAAACGGAACAATAGCTGGCAGCTGGAAGAGGTTTTTAACAACGAGATATGGTATGAACAATCTGCAAATTAAGACAGGGCCCACAGATTGACTTTTACTGGGGGAGGGGAGGGGAGGGGTGAGGCGAGGGGCGGAGCGAAGACCAAGGAATAAGCTAAATCAAAGCGGAAGAGTTAGCCTACTGTGGGTGGGAAGCAGAGGAATCTGGTTATGACCTTCTTGGAAACTGGGGTGCTATCACTGGATAAGGTGTCCGTACCCGGCAGTTTTGGTGTTCCAGTAGAATACGTTTTTCAGCAAAGCCGAATTAGAACTTTCATGTGATAGAGATGAATATAAATAACGTTTGAATCAAGTACAAATATCACACCGCAGATTTTGGACAGTTGGTTATTTTTTGCTGTATAAACACCTGTTTAAATGCTCAGCTGCGCGTACCTCGCTCCTCTATCTACTTCGCTTTCTCCGCCTAATAAGAAATAAGATAATGTATAAAATAGAGCAGTTAGATAACAAATAACTTATAGGACGTTTTGGTGTGTAGTATCGTTGAGTACTTTTACTCTATGTTCGTATTTTGACTCGCCTTACGGGTTCGTAAAAAATACGGCACAACTCGTAACAATACTCAGCGATACTACATACCAAAACGTCTAATAAGATATATACATGTATATTAGCGCGCGAAACTAGTCTAATCCGTAGTTTTTATTGAGATCGAGAGCCCTTTGTAATTTTTATTATGATAAATCAACTAACTGAATGACTTGTCCTGACGACGGAAAATTTTCATGGATGTTCCTAGTTTGAATGTCAATCAGTACATTTGTAGATATTCTAACAGTAGACTTCTTTATTTTTATCTTAGGGCTTTTTCGCATTCAGTCTCACGGGACGGGCATTGTAAAGTTGAAAAGTTTGACAACAATGAAATACATCGCGATCGGCAATCTTGGGCAAATTTATTCCACGGTAAGTAGCTATTATTGAAAAACAGCTCATCACTATGAACACTGTAACAGGGTTTAATTAGTTCCCTCTAAACAGTGAAGGTTGTTTATCCTTAGGTGGGTTCACGTTCTTGTTACCGAACTAAAGGAAAAACCTGAATCGGTTACTAAAGTTTTTATTTTTAAACCATAGTTTTGGTCTGTATGTTATGATAAAAGCAGTACCTAGTTGAGAGCTGGGTGACACGCCCACGCCCAATACCTTTGTCAAAGGCATTGAAAACGTAAAATGTTTAAATCTTGTGATGCTCATCAGAGTACCTGTAGCATTAACACACAATGTTGTTCAAGTCTGCGTGGGTTATGTGTCTTCAGTTAGCAGATGCGATGCAAATGTCCTTTATTTTCCAGGCCAACTCGTCCAATGAAGACACTTTATTGAAGCACGCTCAGGAAGAGAATCACTTCTACTCTTTTAGCTCCTACCTGTATCCCACCACTCAAAACCACTCGAACAGGAAATGGCTGCTAGCGATTGGATCGAAAGGACGAATAAGAAACGCTTCAAGGGTGTCACCACTACACAAATCACATCAGTTCCAGATTAGTAACATACGAGAAAACAGCGGGAAAAGCGACGTAAAGGCTTTGGTACATCTTGTAGAGCATAGAGGAAAGTGAAGAAATCCATGGTCATGTTTGCATCAAAGAGAAGAGAAAAATCAAGGAGAGATGACGCTTATCTCCAGGATTAATTGGGCACCACGAATCCGAAATTAGGGTTTGGTTATCAAGTTACTTCGAACAAGCGAACCATATTTTCTCGAACGGCTGCAGTTTGCTGCGTTGATATTTTATGGGAAAAAAGAATCGCAATCTTCGTAGGCATAAGTTTTAAAAAGAAAACAATGGTCGATAGTTAACCGAGTACGTATGGCGCTATTCTACCCTTGCATTTACAGGTTACAAAGAGGCAGTCTGATAGTGGTCTATCTGAAGACAAAAGAAGCAGCGAGACCAAAAACATCTTAAATATAGTGGAGTAGCCTTACCCAGCTTGCCAAACAATGAGAGAGATACCTCGGTCCACGTTTACCGATTTCTTAGGGGTCCAATTTTTTTTAACACTTGTCGCTGATTGGTCCATTCTGGTATCGTGGATCTAGCAGGATGGGTTATTCTAAGAACAATTCAACAAGCAATTCGAGATATTTGACCCGGAAGTGCCACGTACTAATATCAATTAATCCTGAGATTTGTCGTTCCGTGTTAGCTCGCTTAACGGTTCGTATTTCATCGATATGGGAAAAAAGGAGTCTTTTTCCTTAAATTACATCATGAGTGAAATGTTTGGCAGTGGTGTGTCAAATACATTAATTTTTGTACATTGTTATCAAATAGATTCCATTTTTCCAGGGGTACGGTCAATAATAGATTATAAATGACGTCAAAATGCGGCAAGAACCAAAAAGTGGGACACGAAGCGCAGCGGAGAGTATCAGATGATCCTACCTCAGTTGACAATGATTTATTATTGTTAAGACACCCAGCACATCGAATCTATTTGTTGTTAGATACCTTACTCGTACTTCATTTCGCGATTCCCGTTAGACGTCTTGCGCGGGGTTATATTTTCGCAATTTCAATAAGCAAATTAGAAAATGGGGCATCAAATGTTGCGATTCAAGCGTTCTCGACTTTATTTTATTTTTCAGTAAGTTTCTTAAAAACTGGAACAAGTGTTGGAACGTTTCTAGGTACTTGTAAATGAGAACTACCACAACCGAGGCCCTTTTGGAGAATTGCACGAAAGATATTCTCAGGAATTTGTACGAGTCTCGAGATTTAAATGAAGATGATTAGCATTACACGAGACATATACACAAGGCACACAATCGAACTTACCAGTAAAACCAGTTGATAAATTGTGTATTTGTCCATTCATATTCTGTCTGGGATTTGCATTTTCTACATTTTCTATTTTCTATATTTTTCTATATTTCTCGCGTTTAAATTCTGCGTGCATTGGTATTCGGGGGTATAAAATTTTGCGGTTTTTTCATAATAGCAAAAAACGCGAAATTAAATATGAATAAGGTAACAAATGGGCAAAACGCAGGAATTGGTGGCGTCATGTAAGCCTCTGTCCTCCGATAAATCATAGGTACGAATAAATAAAAATGGGTAAATCACTGAACTTCCTATGCAATTGTTCATAATCCACGAATGGAATGATCAATGCAATTTGGAGTTCAGAAAATGAATGAGGGGTATAAGGGGACAGGGTGAGTAAAAATTATTTTTCTTATCTATAGAAACAGCACATCACAATAAGACAGGCTAACAGTTTAATGAAGTTTTTACTGATTACACTCTGACTCTGTTCACTGCAGTTTACACCCTTCAGTTTCTCCCATGCCCCTTGCACGCGAAGCATTTGCTTTATTTACAACTATTCACAAGGTACAGTACAGCGTTCTAAAGAACGGATATCAAGGAAGATTTCGTGGATTCTAAAATTGTTTCTCTTCACATTTTTCTTTGGTGCATTACAGTCACAATGTATTTATTATGAACATTCATGTACTTACCTTATACCACCAGTTTACGAAGATAAAAATTTGTTTAAAAATACACTTTTTTTAAACGTGAGAACCACCTTAAACAATTGTATCGCAATTTGAATGCAACAAACACGCTTCATCTTGGAGTTAGTAACAGCAGAGCAGCTATCTTATGCATGGTATTCAATATTTTGAGGATTAGTTTGTGAAAGTTTAGCCCTCACAGCAAAGTATCCACCCTTGAATAATTGGATATGGAATGTTAACGATTTAAAAACTATTCAGCTCTATTCTGAATTCCCATTTGAAACATATAAAAACGACCAAGAAGGAGAACCTGTCCGTTACATAGTTGTACAGTTGTTATCAAAATGCAAGTCTTTTTCAACAGTTTTTCAATTCCAGCATATCTTTGTATTCAGGTTCTTACATAAAAAGAAGTCAGGATCATTGTTTCTGATGAGTACCAACACTTTGTGCCACGGACGGTTAGACAATGCCAAGGACATAAATACAAGACAAAAACGGGAATACTTCTTGGTTACAAAGAAATCATACCTTATCTCTGTCATGTAGCATTGCTGTTTGAACTGCAAACTTTATGAGAGCCATGCCAATAGTGTGTTGGTAGACAAGTTGTGTGAGGGAGGACGTTTACATATGGTCGTGTGCTATCCCATTACAGGACCTACACATTGCCCCGGAGGATATCAGAGAGTTCCTCCTATTGTCAACGTCCTCAAGTGATAAACACATCTAAGACTTGTGGTACAAGATTTTTCTTGATGGATCCCTCTACACCATAATATCAACATCATGTAACTGACACAGTGCTGTAAGAGTCTTTTTAACACGCAGAGCTGTAAGTCTTGCAGCACTATTAGCATACCAACATTCTTTCATCAACTTGGACATAGACTGTAGTGTCTAACAACAGAAAAAAATTAAAACATTACATTCTTGAGGTTACGTATCAATTTCCTTTCTGAATTTTGGAAATGCTTTATACTTGTAATGCAGTTTGACATTGTAACAGTGAATGAGGAAACCGGTGGTGGAATTTTGCTACCAAATCTGATTACTCAATTCTATTCACTTCAATAACCTTTTTAAATAGCAAAAATTGCTGGATGTAACTCAGCGGTCAAACAATGCACATGTGCAAGAGTCTTAAAACAATAAGTTGTACCTGTCTAGTGTATAGTGAAGAAGAAAAGGTTAAGTTTCTAACTATTCCAATACTTAGGAAACACGTAGAAAAATTGCTTTTTTTTATTGTGATTTATCCCAATAGTTTTGAACACAAACGATTTGTTACGGTGATGAAGTCAACAGACAAATGGCAGAACCCTCCTCCACCACTGCAGCTCTTATTTTTTACAGTCCACAATAAACATAGGCCTGCAATCATCATAAATATCTTGTTTGGCTTGGTTCCTCTCTTTTCACACATTTCCCTCTGTGTTTACTAGCAACTGTACCATGAATACAGAAAAAAAAAAACAAAAAAAAACAAACCACACACAAACTACTAACAGCACGGCAAAGATCAAGGGTGACTTCATCACATTACCATGCAATGTGCAAAAAAAAGTATGAGAGTGTAAATTACCCTAAAGAGGGGAAAGTGCAGAATAACAGTGTATATAAGTATTAGTCTGAAAAACTTGGAAACTTTCCTTAGAAACCAGAAAAAAATTAAGTCACACATCAGTTCTCCACAAAAAAGGCTGTGTTTGCAATTTCAAATTATCTGTGCTGCTTGAATCTACCTTTGCATGCATCACCATTTGACTGCTGTGTTGTTGTGATTAAACTGTTTCACAGCACAGAAGTTGAAAGTAACTATTCAAAGTTAAGAAAACTGAGGAACAGAAACTACAAGTTTTAATGTTGTTATACCTTTTACCTGATGGAAATACATGTACACAACTGAAGCTGGTATGACAGGAAATAATCAAACAACTGAGAGGAAGTGATAAAATACAAACCTGATCTTGTATCCACCTATTTGGAAAGGCAGGGCGGTACCTATCCACACAGACCACCTTTCTCATATCTTCGATGCTGGGATCACAAGGAACTCTGTCATAGTAGGGCAGCTGATATTCATCACATATTCCACCACACACACACTTCCTTGCAATTTCCCATAACACAAGACCAAATGCATACATGTCACCTCGCTTGTATGCGTCAAAGTGCCGCACATGCATATTGTCATCTAAAAATTCAGGTGGCATGTAGCGCTTTGTTCCAACTCTGTTCCCAGGAGGAACATCAACTGTGTCAGTAACAGAACTATGGCGAACAGCAAGACCCAAATCACCTATGCAACATGTCCCTACAGAAAAGAACAATATAAAATTTATACTTTAATACTGTCTAATGATGAAACAATACTTCGTGATTTTTGCAGTAGATTGCCTTAAAACTGTAACTTAGGCTGCAGAAAAATCAAAACCTATCCAAAGGTCACGAACATTTTGGTACAAACAATGAAATGCAAAAAAAAAAAAAAGAGAAAAGGCTAGGTAAACATGATACATGATAAAGCTCTGATTTTAGTGTACATTGTAGTATAAGTGCAAAACAACTTCAGGTACTTGTAACACTTTAAATTCTAAGTCACCAAGACAGTTATTGACACTTCTCCCACACAACACAAATTGTTCTTAAGATTTTCCCCTTACCATTTCTTTTAACCAGAATGTTTTTACTTTTTAAGTCACGATGTGCAATAGCTGGCTTTCCTTGGGTGCCAACAATCTCAATGTGGAGATGAGCAAGTCCACTGGCTATTGAAACTGCTAACATCAGCATAGATTCAACATCCAGAGTAACAAGTTGAAGATAGTCATACAAAGAGCCTTTTTCTAAATAATCTGTAACCAACCAAAGCTGTGTCCAGGCACCATTATCTTTGTTGTCAGCAGCTACAAAACCTGTGAAGGAAAAGTAACATTTCAGAGAAAAGCGAGATCATAAACAGACTGATCTAGATGTACAAAGAAATTGTTACAAAGATAAGGGAATGCATAATATGTTAAATAAATAGGTGAATTCTAGTGGAGGAAAGACATTCATCAAGTCTCTCTGAATGACAATTTGCTCATGCTCCTAGGAGATAGGAGGTTCTGCATGTATCAATCAGTAGTGCAGTAAGCAGACCACTAGGCCACCATTATCTAACACATATTGAGTCAAAATGAATAATGAAAGTCAGACACTAAGTTGGTCCATGGGAGGAAAAACAATGTAGAACTGTGAGTCATTAAAACAATCAATTGAGAAAGAAAGACAGGAAACAGAGCTTAAGACAGAAAGTCACATTAACAGTGTAGTCAGATCAACAGACCTCATCTCCAAATGCTTTAAAACTTGAGCTACAATTTATTAGTGGCTCTTGCTTGACAACAAGTCCCCTTTGAAATGTTTACATGTACATGTATGTTCATACAAATATAATTGTACTTTTACAAAGTACCTAAAAGGTTTTCATGTCGCAACATGGTTGTCTGATAGATCTCTGCTTCACGGAACCATGAGCACTCATCCCTAGATGAAAAGATTTTAACTGCAACACTCTGTCCTCTCCACACCCCTCGGTAAACCTCCCCAAAACGGCCTTTACCAATGAGTCCCACCAAATGGATTTGTCTTGCGATGGTACGCTGAACCAATAAAGGCAATCCAGAGCCACTTCCTGCAAAATCAACCCCAACAAGTTAGTCGTTTGCTTAATTTCTCAAGACTCCAAACTAGTTCTTTCACAAAGTTACTGTTAGAAAATGATGCAATAAGTAATCCAGTGGTAAATAACTCTCATTTCTCTTACACCCTTTGACTGGTTCTTTCCTTCATCACGGTGTGATCTAATCATTTACTTAGCAATATGACTAAGTTTAAAGCCAGATTAACATTTGGTAATTTTTGACTTGGAATGCACTAAACCCTTTAATTACAGTGATGTTTGAATTATAAAAAGGTAACATTAAGTATAAGAACTTGTATTAAATTGGTGCCAGAGGCTAGTTGGCCATTTTTCGTTCAGTTCTACAGCATTGGAGCAGTTTAAGAATTTAGCCATAAGAACCTAAATTTGCAAACATAATACAGAATTCATCATAGATGGTACTTGTGAAACTTGTGGAATGTAAGGAATTTAAGTGGGTTGCTGTGGCAATAGAGTTGAGAGGAATCAGTAACTGTCAAAAGGGAATTTAACCTTTTATAATGGACAAATGTTTCAGAAGATGTTACATACACTGCTAAACATTATAAACCTGCTCTTCTTCATCTCATCATGTCCACATTCACCAGCAAAAATTGGCACACTCTGGTGAAAAGTTTTCTTTAGTTTCTTCACTCTAAATTTAGTTTTAATTGGATACATCTACTTGCCAATTTTAACATAATTGTTTGGCTCAGCTAAGAAATATTGGTACACAAGCGATCAATTTTGTGTGCAAAAAAACTCCCATTATTTTTCACACAATTTCACATCAAAATAGTGGGTAGCCATATTATTTAACATTTGCAATGAGGTTTGCAGCAAAAATCACACAAAAATGGTACCAAATTTGGCTGCGTTGTCCAAATTCATAACCTATTTTTCTTGCAACAATCAGAGGTTCCATTCCCAGGAACATATGGATTTCACAGCAACAACACCTCAAGAAACCACAAATCAGTCTGAAGTTGTCATCCTGGGGTAGCACATCAATTTTTTTTATGATGGACTCTGAAGCCTGGTTTTCACCACCAATGCAAGCACAAGCAGAAACTCAAAGATCGGAATTTTCCTTTTTCTTGTGCTTGCCCCAAGGCTGATTTGACAGTGGAATAGGAGATGTTGTGGGTACATTTTTGCTTGTGTTGCTAGTAAAAACCAGGCTTGTTGGTGAGAGGACAAGAAAGGCATAGATGCTGCTAGAAATCTGAATGAAACATGTGGAACAGACCCTTTGTCCAGAATATTACTTTTCACAAGTTTCAATCTCATTGTAGGCGCAAGAATTTGTACTATCATTTTTTGTTAGTGTTGGTGTTTCATAGTTTCGTGTTAGGTGTTTATTTTCTCGTCTTCCATTAGTGTCCTTTGTCAGTTACCAGTTTTGTACTTGTTATATTTATTTGCATATCGTATATATATTGGTTGCGCATAATTTATTTGGTTAGTTGTCTAGTTTGCGAAAATTACCGTTACATATCTAGCTCTGGGTTTCATGTTTTTGTCTTTGGTTTGGTCACATTCGTCTTTTACAAAATATAGCCGCAAACGCTAATCACACGTATTCAACAATGTGTCAAGTTTGTTCTAGTAAAGTTTGAAATACGTGTGATTAGCATTTGCGGCTATACTCATATGCAGTGACTGAATAGAGTGTGTGGTTTATATTAGTTCGCTTTAAGTTGTCAGGCACCCCAAAAAATAATGAAAAAACTTTCATTTTTTTCATTGCTTGGAAAATATAAGTAGTCAGCTACTGTAGAGCTCTTTCACAAGTTGCATCCATGGTAAAAGAGTGCTTGGTAATTCATTATCAAATGGTCAATTATGAAATGGATGTGTTAGAAAGGTCAACTAAAGAAAATTACTGAAAACACTATTCAGAGCTCTGAGTTCACTCTTCAAAAAGTTGCCTTTTGGCAACCTTCATTGATAAAATGGTGGTTGTAGAAAAAAAGTTGGTCTAATGTGAAATTTTGCAAATGGCTGCTTAAATTAAAATCTTTAATAGTTGAGAAAAAAGAGCACCTAAAAAGGGTCAAGTTAACCTCTGGTGCCACCTTAATTGCATTAAGCTTTGTCATTTTTGTTTAAGTTGCTATCTCATATCTTCGCACATGGATGCTTCATCTTCTTTATGTTATGTTTAATCTTTTTAATATTTCTTAACGATTGCAATACACACTTAATTGATTTGTTGATTTGTGCTGTGTCATGAACATCATCATTATTTTTGATTATCATTAATTGTCCTCTGTTTGTGTTTTCTTTTTCTTATTATAACTTTTATTCTACAGATGATTATTGTCAAAAGAGCACAAATTATTTTATAGAAATATCAAAGTGCTTGCCAAGTTGATGCAAAACTGAACATTAAGAAGCTGTGAAGTACTGAATGGACATTGAATAATATTATACCTGTTGACATATCCATTAATTCTTTCAGAGTTTGCCCTGGAGGAATCAATGCTTCATCCTCCACCGGCTGAAGTGCTGCTTCTGCTTCCCGAAACTCTCCCTGTTTCTTCATTTGCCTTTTTTGGTGCCAGCAAATGAACAGCATGATTAGAGCACAAATCACACACATAGGGCCAGCAATGGCTGCTGCCACCCCTACTGTGCTCAGCTTATTGCCACTCTGATCATCTGAGTCTAAACAAATTTAAGTAAATATTGTAAAATAGCATAACTGAACAAAAGTAACAAGCAATCATGGTTTCACACCATTAAACTTCATCTGTATAAAGTGCTTTGGGGTGATTCCTCAATAAAAAAAAAGCTGAGACAAAACACATCATGGCAAGTTACACAGTTAATCCCAACAACTGTACTTACTAGGGGCTTGTTTAGAAAATGTATATTTTACAGGAACAGAAAAACAGCTTTGAAGCAAGATGTAACAAAAGAGATAAATATAATAAACTTACCAAACAATACATTTTCTATCAGAACATTTTGAACTAGAAAATTCCTTATCTGAGAGACATATTTATGTCCACCACAGAAGACTAAAGATGCTTTAGTCACATCTTTTTCCTACCAACATTTTTATTTTACTAAATCCAATAACACAGCCAGGAAGACTGAAGGAATGCACCCATTCTTAGAAATTGATAGGCTGCTATGCCTTCAGGGATAAACACTCTTTTTATGCCTTTCAAAAGACTTAAAAACCAAGCCTTGTTTTTGGTTGACTAAGGATGTGCATAGTTTTTTGGCCTTTTGTATATAATATGAGACACAAATGCTATGTACTTTGCAATTTAGGAGAATCACTGCAAAAGTTCTATCTCTAACACAAATATATCTAAAATATATCAATTATGGGAAAATACCTTTTTGTTTGTAGACTGTGGAAGGTGTTAATGTTGGCAGAGTTATTGCTACAAAGTTGCACATATCTGTCCTACAGCAGTATACATTCTCATCTGGATCAACTGGTTCATCTTCCATAGGACATACAAAACGATGTTCGTCAGTACTACATCCTTTATAGTGCTCAATCACTCCTGTTGAATATCGAGTAGCAATCACCATACATGCCCCCCCAGTACTGCAGGTTTTGTTGTCACAATTTGTACAATGACAAGTAATAGTCGTGCTTCTAACTACAATGAAGATACAAACACAATCTGTTACTTCTGTGTTCTATAGATGTACATTTTTGAAGAATGAGCTTATGTAACCTGAACTTAAATGGGAAGAGAAAATAAAGGCTGATGATTATAGCTTAAGGCTATTGCATGGGCCAAGGGGTAAAATAAGAAAAGGACCACTACAAAAAACACCAGAATTGTACACAATGGATTGTAGTTTGGCAACAGAGCTAGATAAATTTCCCCTAATATCAGAGGCATTGATCCTGATAGAGCAGTATGTTAATAAATAAGTGTTTTACTTATGTAAAACTTGAGAAGAACCAAACCCAGACATGGTATTTCAGTGCTGTGTTCACTTAACTTATTCATAAGTTGAGGTCTTGAATTAATGTCATGGCTTTCTGGCAGTTAAGTGGGTAATTCGAATGCTTATTTGCTTTTTAACTGAGCACCAGAGGATAGCCTCACCAATACTAGTGCACAATTTCCTAATGCGACTGGATGAGCACCTTTGAATAACCATTTCCTCAATGACATCTAAAGGAAATTTCACATAGCCAACTGAGGCAATTTGGGTTTCACCGCAGCTATATCGTCATTTGACATTACTGGGGGTAACATCAGAAGATTTATGTTTACAGTCATTTTCTAAAAGTTAAAAATTTCTGGAATCGGAACTGTCCAAGTTAACGAGAAGAAGAACCTCTGGCGCGCGGCGCAGATTAACCCGACAATTCTAAGCTTTTAAAATATTCAGTCGTAGCCCGTCGCCTTTTGCTGCGCTTTAGTTAAAGGAATATTTGTAATCAAAATGCAAGTTTCAAAATATTAAGCTACCTTCTGTATCTTCTGAAGTCCAAAGAGAAAGAGAGACTTAATTTCCTTCCTCAACAAGAAAAGTCTCAACGTTTCCTAGCTAATATTCGTACAAGTCGTCCTATCAATAGGAACCTTGTATCACTGCATGTGCGTAAGAGATCTTATTAAAGCTGCGCTATATAAACACAAACATTTTGAGAGAAAATCAGAAAACGCCACCACAAACGCTACCCAGCGAAGATCAACAATGTTGTACAAACATATGTAACATTTGGCCCAATAACTTTAACATTTGAATATAATAGACAAGAGATGTATTCCTGTTGCTTTTTTCATCAGACAAACACTGTCTCGTCTTCTTTTCCGTTTTGCAAATTAAGCTAAATGCAAACGGTAAACCCGAGTGAAAGGACAAAATCAACGGCTCTAGTTTCACTTACCATTTCCCAGGACTGTTATAAGAATTAAACAGGCGGATTGCAGAGCGATTTTGTCCATTTTATGGGTATACCTGCGTACGAAACACAACAACAGCCTCTCCAGTGCCAGACGGAGAAATCAGACACCACCATGATCACGTGATCTTAATCACGAAACGACAAAAGGAAGTGACGTAACAAGATCACCTCTGGGTGATACAATCAACATTGTTATATTTCAGGCGCGCTATATGGATAATATCTGAGTCATGGCACAGATGTTTATTCGTCTAATTTCAAATAATCGAAGAACTAATAGAGGATTACAGGCTGATCGTGCGTTTTACCTTAGTTTTACTAACGATTTACCTGTACGAACCTGTTACCTGTTCTGAACCTGGGGTGGGGGAGGAAAGACTGAAAGCTACTGTAGGGCCCAGTCTACGCTCTCCCATGATTTTATTTGGAATTACACGTACCTTGCAACGTGGTTTGGGTGAATCATATTGCAAAATGTCCTTTATTCAAGTTTCTCATGATAACCATTTTCCCATTCAGAATATTCCTTATGGAGTATTTTCCACGTCAGATGATGTGAGGGAGTATAGATCGAGAGGTGTTTCCTCTACGGCCGCGCACTTGCATGTCAGATTTCATCTATGTTAATCTTATTATTTTCAGCCACGGCATCGTGTGGGTGTTGCCATAGGGGACTATGTGCTGGACCTCACCGAGATTGCCGATCTCTTTACTGGTCCGATAATGTCCCAGAAAAAATCGTCTCTTCAAGGGGTAAGAAATAACTCGCTTTTAAAGTCCAATTTATATTATGGGGAACACATCTCAGTTTACAGGTTGGCTGTTGGTTCAGTAAGACTCATTCTGGTGATTTTTACAGAATAGGCAGTATTTTTAAGTAAGATAATGAACATGTAAGCCATTTGTTTCAAATTTTAGAAAACCTACAGCTGTAAATACATATTACACCAAGGCTCCCTTCGATTACAAAAAGAGGGCTTGGGATAGGGGGTGGGGCGTGGGAGGTGTCTCCTGCATAGTGGTCAGTTGCATAAGCCGTATTGGCTTCCTTGCCCGCTGATATTTGCTAATGAATTATTCTTTTGTATATTTATGGAAATCTAATGAACTGACAAGGCAAAACAATCCACTAAATTAATTATAGTTATAGCTAAATGCTGTATGATTCACCCTCAGTTTGTCATATTTGCTCATATTTGCAGTCAGTTAAGAGAATTTTATTTTTAGATCTGGGTAATTAAAGGGTTTAAACAAAAAGTCAAGATTTGTGGAGACTCCTTAATCAAACCAGAAAACAAATTTTAGTTGATGTGCAAGACAACTTGCACGTAATGTTGTCAAACTTGCAATGTTATCTGCAGCAAGTGCTGAATGGCTTCATGGGTCTTGGGAAAAAGGCATGGAAAGAAACAAGGGACACATTGCAACGTATTTTGTGCAGCAGTGAGGTAAGTACACAGCTTAGCAATCCTGTAACATACTTCTATTGTCAATAATAATTGCACCTTTTTGTTGGAAAGAGTGCATGATCAATTCATTGTACATGTCAGAAGTGCTTCCTCACATCATTTGTTATAAAATGATTGTAAATTATTGATCAATAAAATGTAAATACTTTTTACTGTGGATTAGTTTACTATGGTTATAGGTTAAACAATCTACAACCTTCATTACAATAATGAAGCAAGATAAAGACTGGGCCAGAGAGGACCAACTCATTGGCAGCCAGTGAGGAATTAGGGATGACTCTACTGTGATTGAATGTGGTGCGAATAAGAAGCCATGCATTCTATAGCTTTATTGCTGCAGTTACATTTATGAAAGAAGTTTTCTTGTTCAGTAATAAAAGTAGAAAGTGAGCTAGGTTGATAGGGGTGTTAGGTCCTATATTTTGGCTATGATTTAATTATTCTCAGCTTGAAATGGGAAGTAAATGATTCATGCTGTAACTTGTATTTTGTTAATAAGAATCCTAGGTCTTCATACCAGTTTTTCTAACTTTTTTATAGGGAGTTCTTAGAGATGACTCAAAGCGGCAATCCAGGTGACATGTAAATTTCAGTCATGAATTACTTAATTTTTTATGGACTATGTGGTACTTTTTGTCTAAGAACTCTAGATTATATCATCCAGTATGTAGATCACTGTGTGGTATTCATATAGTCATGTTAACGAGTATTGTCTGTTATGGACCATTTTGAACATTTGCCCTTTGTAATTTGTAGCAGGCTTGGAATAAATGTAGGGTTTGACTTAGGATTTGATCACTAGGGGACAATTTGTCCTCTTAGCAAAAGTTTTAGGGGATAATAGAGCATGACTGAAACATGACTTTAGAATGAACTTTAAACGGGTGATAAAATATACTTTCCATGTTCTGTTTTAGCTTGCAATTTCTGTATTGAAATAAAACTCTTTGTGTGTGCTTCCTTTTGAGTTTTTTCCATAAATTTTGAAGGGGACAAATTGTCCCATTGGCCATTTTATTAAGGGACAATTTCAATTGCAGTGCGGGATTTGCACAATGGTGCAGCCTGGCTCAAACCCTGTAAATGGCACTAGTAATATTTCCTAACATTCTTTGATAATCCTTAGGTGCCTTTTTAAGCAAGACTGTGTTACCATGCATCTTCCTGCAAATATTGGTAAGTTTTAAAAAAGAGAGGAAGACACTTGAGACAAATTTAATCGTAGTTAATCCTCTTACATTTATGATAATTGAAATCTTTTACTGTACAAGTAGTTCCAGAAATATAGATAAACTACTCTCTCTTTGAATGGGTTTCACCAATCTCTCATCCCTCTTAAATCTGTAAAGTAAAAGGAAAAACTTATTTTCATGCATTTAGGTGCCACTAACCTCAAAAAAGTTTTTTAGATAAAAGAAATGTCCTTGTTTCACCCACCAACACAGTGAAAGAAGTATTACAATCAAATAAAACCTTGCAATTCTACAAGCAGTTAAAGCTCAATTTTTTATGTTCATGACCATGTATCTTTGGAACTGGTTTGAGGAAGATTGTTGTGTCATTCACACTTCAAGGATGCAGTAAAAAACTTAAAGATGGGCTCCCTTTCTCTAAATATCAAGGACCTTCCATAAAGTACCAAAGAAAGCCATGTCATCTAGAGACTCAAACTCGGACAGTTTCTCAAACACAGACAGTGACTTTATCACTCTGAAACATCCAAAGCTTCTTATCTATTGGAATACGACACAGAGATAGGGGAAATCAAAGATGTTCCGAAAGCAAAGCCTCAGTGAAATGGAGTCAAGAAATTCCTGACACTACGGAGAAAGAAGTCTATCCAATAAGCCTAAGTTATGATGCAAGGGCAGACATCATGATGGATGAAGATTTTAATTCAAATATCTAAACTTGATCAGAGAAAAAGCAGAGCACAACCTTGTAGGAGCACTGATGAAATTTCACCACAGAAGCATTGCAAGACTTATAACAAAGTTCAGGAAACTAGAGCAAGCAAAAACTAGAAAGATAAATGTAATAGAACTTTGAAATCATGTATAATCACTGGCCATTTATTCAATCAATTTAGATGCAGTTGATGTAAACAATTTAGCTGGAGAATTGAAATCTAAACTGAACTGGGGAGACAAGCTTCTTGTAACTTTGAGAGCACAAGCAGGCAATAGAGAAGTTGAATCTTGTTTGAGTGCATTCTCTGCCTCCTCAGAAATAAAAAACAAGGGTGAAACATAACCCAAATAAAAAAAGCTGGTACAAATCACAAAAGAAAACATAGACTAAAATAGACGGATAAAAGATTGATTCTCTTACCAAAGTAAAAGTATGGGTTTGACATAGTAAATAACAGCCCATATCTGGCCAGACCATGATATGGAACTGATATGGTGTCCAGTTTTGTGAAATGTAAGATATGGAAACTGTAATGGAAGCTGTATAGGTTTTTATGCTCATGCAGGCTGAGTTTTGTATGGAAAACTATGGGAATGGGATGCCCATATGTATTCCATACCAATGGGTATTTTACTTGCTTTTCTTCAGTATGGAAATAATGCGGGATTCTCACATTCCATGGAAAAACTATGGAAAAAACCTACCCATAGGTTTCCCAGAGGAGTGGCTGATGTATACTTGCCTTTCTTTTCGTATGCAGATGATATGAGGTAATATGCTACATAAGAAAACTGTGGGAATAAGGTGCCCATAGGTATCGCATAGCAATTGTAAATTTACTCATTGCAAAACTCAATCCTTTTGCATGGGAAATGCTGAGGTACTGCACTCAATCCACAGCAGTTATTTCCTGTACACATTTTTGTACATAAAATTCAATACTTCTTGCACACTTTTTTAAAGTACAAGTTTATTTTACAGACTCAAGGATATGAGTCATTTCTCCATTTCCAAATCTGAGAAAGTGATTAAATACTTGATTGATACAATTAAAGCTGGACAAAACATGAAAACCAAATGGTAACCTTGAGGCACTATGAACACACAATATCTGCATGACATGTGGACAGGCATGGGTAATGTCAGGAGGTGGTGTGGAGTTCTCCAGATCCTGTGATTGAACATTTTGCATTTTAAGCTCTGCTAAAAGTTGCATGGAATTTGACAAGGTGACAATGATTTCACTCAGCAATAAATGTTGCACCTTGGAAATAAAATACTTTTTTTCCAAACTTTTTTAGGTCTGCAAAACTACACATAGATTCCAATATCTTAATCTTTTTAAAAAAATTTCAGAATCTGTGTAAACCCTAGATTATGCGATATCACATCAGTACATGGTCCATATCTGTCCTATAGCACCCACCTTGGTAAGGGTTCACACAAGCAGTGCATCAGGAGCCCATCAAATGAAAAACTGACAGATGAAAAATTAACATCTAATAAATCTACCTCAGAAATAACATTTTTCCACACAAAAGTGTGCAAAGACTTAGAGACTATCAGAGAATCAACCCTGGACAAACAAACACATTACAAAGAGAAGGAGACCTTCTGATACAAAATTTTTTATTCCAATATCCTTCTGGCATAAAGGAAAGCATCCATAAAAGGTGAAGTGCTACACTTTCCAAGGACAAATTTCTCATGCTCTACATTTAATAGGAGCATACAGATTTTCAAAATATTCTTGAAGAATAAAGGATATCTAAATGAAATTTTGGACAAGTATGTCTCTGAAGTTCATTTCACTGGGAGAAGAAGGTCACTCAAAAACAAAGAAAAAAGCACACAGAAGAAAATATTGCCTTTTGTAACACAATATCACAATTGTTTGGCTTTACCTAACCTCAAGAGCACAGTGATGGAGAAATGGCACTTTATTCAAAACCAATGGCACTCGGGAGCAATATTTAAGGAGCCACCCCAATCATGATATTGAAAACAAAAATATCCTGGCCAGACTTACACATAAACTTTGAAGGCAGAGGATTTAAAATTGCTTGGGAATGGCAAGAGTTGCACTGGCCTGTCAACATGATTAAGAGAAGTTGACCTATTTTCTTCTGCGTTTTTTTGCTTCAAGGTGGTTGTCTTCAGAATACAGGAAGGTATGAAGAGTGAACTATCCTCTAAGGAAGCTGTATCACTGCAGTCTTCCACAACACACCCTTCATGCACAATTCTATGGTTCTTTCCTTGGTTAAAGTGTGACTGCTTTCTCAATAAATGGTATTATTAATGTTAAATTGGTCCCAGGTTGATGTCTTGAGCCAACCTGCCCTATTCCCCCTATTTCTTGGTTGTGAACATGAAGGTGGCCAATTTTGGATCTTTGAATATTCATTTGAAAAATAAGGATAATAGATGTGACCTTAATATTTTGGACCTTGTTATCAGAATATAAGACAAGGAAATTTATTATGTTGAAAACAAATTTTGGGGGTTAGTGGCACATTAGCACTTAAAGTCCCACTATTAGTAAATTAAAAGGCAAAAATTCCAAAAATGGTTCAGTTTTTCTGTTTCAGATATATTTTAAAAAAAGGGAGAAAAAGCTCTCTCAAATGCCTGGTTTCTTCATAGTATACTTCCTGTAGTATAGTATACTAAATCAGTATAGAAATTGTTTTCTAATAGGAATATTTTCATGTTTTAAATTTTTATGTCAATATAGGTGACTACACTGACTTTTATTCCTCTAAAAATCATGCAACAAATATTGGTACAATGTTTAGAGGAAAGGATAAGGCTCTGATGCCAAACTGGTTAGTATGTTATAGTTATAGAGCTTCTACTTAGAATTGAGCTTGTCAAAAGTAAGGTGCAAATTTTTTTTATCTTGCATAAGAAAGGATCTTTGGCTAACTGTTTGTATTTTTTGTTTCAAAACTGAAATGTAAAAACAACAAGAAAGGATACCTCCAAAAATGAAATATCCAACAGCTTTTTATCAGGTTTTAAATTGTATACATTTGAAAAAATGATATTCTATTTTCAATAAATGTTGTAAGAATTTGGGTGTGTTATAAGTTGTAATTTATTGATAATTTTCATAGATAATTAGAATGATGATGATGACCATGACTATGTCAATGATAATGGGCCCTGATAAAAATGTATGTCTGAGTTACAATGAAAGTATTTGTACACTAGGAACAACTGAACCTGGATGGAAGTTGTCCTTATTAAGTTTATGAAAGAAGAGAAAGTGCTTTTTTCGGCTCTTAAATGTCAAACACTCTTCCATTAGAATTGAGATTGAGTTCAAGTGAAATTCTAAATAAATGTTTGAAGACTTAATGTGGCTTAATTTAGCTTGTGATGTACACTTTTGATTTCTAGCATATAGATACATCTTTTTTGGAAAGATATGAGCCTTAACTTAGTTCATGGAAGTGTTTTTAGGTCTAACTTTGAATAACAATTTTTGATCCAGGTTGAACCTAAGACTATAAACTTGTAGATGGTTTTTCAAAGTTTTATTGTATAACCAGCAAGCTGTCATGATTATAAATTAAACTCCATGCTACAATATTTTATTTAAATTAATTTGTTGTTATTGATTGTTATTAGTTATGATTATACTTATTTATAAATTATTTGAAAGATATGGTAAAAATGATGTGGTGACATATTTATTCTCTTAAATTTTAAAACTAGCTACATGTAAGCAATTGATAACTATTACAAGTGGTCAATATCACTCAATATAAAGTCAGATGAAAATTTTCCTAGAAAGTTATTTGTATCAATATAACATTACATACTACAATGTTTGGTGTCAATATCACAGGGTTCATCTGCCAGTTGGATATCATGGCAGAGCATCGTCAGTTGTAGTATCAGGTACTCCTGTGAGACGTCCTGTTGGTCAGACTAGGCCAGATGATAGTAAGTGAAGTATATGATGCTATATTTACTGAGTATTTACAAAAAAAAATTTTTTTAAATTCTTGCCGAAGCTCTGCTCCAAGGATTATTGACCACAAGAGGCCATTAAAATGTACACTAGGTAGTGTTCAATGAACACACCTTTCATCTCCTCCTGGCCTTTGTAACAGAGGTCTTGTAGTGAGTCTAATGACCTGCCTGCAGCAATATTTCAGATTGGATGGGTTGTTCAGAGGTTATTTCATGCTTCATATGGAAAAAATTTTTTGTCAATTTGGTTGATCAATGTTGTGAGGTTGATCAAAATGGCTTAAAACAGTTTAAAAAGCTTGGGAAGTCACTATTGTCATTTAAAGAAAGACAAGTTGAGCAAGGTGTGCATGTGTGATGGATGGCAACCCTAAAAGCCGGAATGGTGGAATGGTGGAGTGGCAGAAAATGACTCCAAATCCTAAAACATGTTTGTACAAAGACATGAAAGTGTTTGGCACATTCATCCCCATGATGATGATGGGCATGACTAAAATTAAGTTATTAATTAATTATTAATTTTTTTCTTTTAGCGAGTGGTATGAATGATAGTGAACCATTATGCATGAAAGAGGGCTGCCTTTTTGCGTTAAAAAACCTGGTTAATTGCCTTTTATTATGCTAAATTTGCCAGAGTTTTAGTCACCGCATAAAAAGTTGCACAGCATGTGAAAACCAACTTGACATACCACATCACAATAAACAATTGTGACCTTGATACATTTCGTGGTCATGCCTGCATTGATTTAAGAAATAGTAATGTACCATATGCTAGTAAATGTGTGAACACCACAGGAATGTTGTCAAGCTTCTCAAAATATAACAACATTCAGCTCCAGCTCCAAACTTAGACTAGCATGTGAGCAAGCCCTTATTACAAGCCCTTCAATATGAATGTTTCTTCATCCATGAATAAGTTTTAGGGCTTGAGTAACACTAGGTGAAGAGAGGTTAGCAGGGGGTCATGTGCATGGGAATTTCTCATTGTGTGAAAAGACAAAAGAAAGTTAACAGACAGTAGCCATCAAGAAGAATTTGAAGAATTTCTTCACAACTAGGTGCCCAAAACACCACTATCCTATTATGAAATTTACAGCGTACAGATCAGTGGTAGAAATAAACTTTCTGGATGAAAAAGAGGCTATTTCACCGATTCGTTTAATTTGCATAGTGAGAGTAGATCCTGATCAGCAGAACCCCACTAACTCAAACCTGATAAATTCAAAACCCCTGCTTACTTGAACAAGACCTGATTTCCCTTGGATTTTACCCCATTTTTTTCAGTCATTTGCTAACAGGAAACTTTAGCTTGGGTAAAATAAAAATGACAGTCAATAAACATCAAAGTGTCAGAAAATAACTGATTTGCACATCCCATTCTTTAATCATGCTAGAAATGAACATTGTAACATGATTAGTAGCTTTAAAAGAAAAGCAATACAGTAAGCTCAATTTCCCAAACTGTACAATCTCATGAAAAAGGCCCTTATAAGACAAACAAATCTGCAAAAATGACTGTTTATTGTGCGAAAATAGTCATTTTCCACTGTTCCGTGTTTTAGGATTTGGGGTCATTTTCCGTTGTTCCATGTCTTAGGATTTGGGGTCATTTTCCACCATTCCACTGTTCCACCATTTTGGCTTTTAGGGTTGCCCTGATACACTGGCTATGGACCACTTTTACAAATGGTGAGCATGATTATTACTCACATTATAAGCATGTACATCTGCTCTCTTGGCCTCTTTTTAAGTGAAAACTCTTATGAATCACTTACATGGATGTGGTCTTCTATTGAAGAAGTGGCTGAATTAAAAAGCCTGGACTTTGGCAAAAAACCTCTTGCATATCCATGAACACAAACAGAAGATGTTCTTTTATCTCTAAAAGGAAAGCAAGTGATCTCTGATTTTCATCTCATTTATTTGCTATTTAACAATTGGTTCATACATCAGCATGCGTTCATTGAGATATGAAGCATGCAGGAAGTTTGGAGAGCACAAAAGATGTGTAAGAGTTGCTCGAGGTGTAGCCGAGAGAAACTCTAGCTTCTTGAGTTTGATGATGTTTGCTGACATCATGAGTGTGCACAATAAGAATATGAAGCATGCTCGCTTCAGTTATAATGTGTCTTGATTCATTTTTCTAAGGGTTCAAAAGTGAGAATGGTGCAAAGAGAAGAAAACAAGCTACAGTAATAATATTGTCTCCTCTCATTTTTCTCAACATTTTGATGTGTTTGTGACAATTGAGTGGCAATTGAAAATAGCATTCTTTGATTAAAAACACATTAAACAGGTCATTTTGTTGAAGAGGATTCTGGATGACACAGAGTCATTCATTTTCTGATTTTGGATATCAGTATCCTGGCCACTGACATACAGTATCATTTTCTACCATTAACTGGCATTCTGGTTCTTTCTATGTTCACAGCCAAACCTCCTGTTTTTGGTCCATGTAAATTACTTGACTTTGAGCTGGAAATGGTTTGTATAATGTACTATGTACAGCATACGGTCAAATATTTCATTGTATCAGTATCAAGCACTATTAAGGGTGAAAATTTTTTATAACAGGCATTCTTCTGTGGACCTGGAAACAATCTTGGTGAGCCTATTGCTATGGATAAGGTATTGTTTGTGAAAATGTTTTGTGGATGTCTTATTCACCATGTTTTATGGGCTAAAATGAAGAATCACCTGAACCCTTGTTTAGTGGTCTATAAGGGTATATAATGGTCAGTTTTCAAGCCTAACATTAAAAAAATTTGACTTTCAATCTAACTTGCTTGAAACTAAGAGCTAATGTTCAAACATTCAGCTGCACGATAATGGAGATTGCATTTTGGTGACATGTAGAGTAATCATATATTGACAATCAAACTTTTTAAAGCTGCTTTAATTGATATGCAATAGTGCAGAGCCAATCACATGAAATGTTTTTAAATGTTACATAGGCTGAGGACCACATATTTGGAATGGTTGTGATGAATGACTGGAGTGGTATGTAAAGACACACCAGACTTAATTTTTTTTTATGAAACTTATGCATTTGTTGTCAGTGAGGAAAATAAACTAATACTGTAGCCATGTAGAGCCACTTGTGCTTTAAGGTCAAAGCATACCTCTTATAGTAAACAGTAGACCTGAGATGTAATTGTTTTGAGGGCTGACTGTTCTTATATATGAGCTATGGCAAGATTCCCACCAATGATGGTGAACTTAATCTGTACCAAGTGTTGATTTATTCAGTCTTTCTAAACATAGAGAACACAAAAGAATAGAACATAGGTTAATTGTGTGTAGAATTGACAGTTGTTCCTGTATTGGTACAGTGACCTGCTCTGTTTTAATTAAAAAATCAAAGATGGGTATCAAGGAAGAAACTGTAAGTAATGACTTTCTAATGTAAATTATATTAGAACTCAGCACATCCTCAGCACTTCTTTAACCTGTTACACCCCAACATTAGTATTTATAGTGCAGCACTGTTCTCTTTATGTCTCCTATGGAACTGTCACGGGGAATAAGTTTGGCACTCAGGAACCCTTGCATTGGTGATCTTGATTCAAGGGTGATGGTGTAAGGAAAAAGTAGAAGCTAAACTCAAAGTAGGTTTAACATGCTAGATAGAGACAAATTGAAGCGTATCATCATCACTAATCTTCTATGTGTTTTGTTATCATATATCCATTGCAGCTCGTGACATACAGAAGTGGGAATATGTACCATTGGGCCCATTTTTAGCCAAGAATTTTGCAACAAGCATCTCACCTTGGGTGGTGACAATGGATGCTCTTCAAGAATTTGCTTTGGCCAATTCAATTCAGGTAGCTGACTCATGATACTTGTGATTTTCCTTGAAAAGAGAAGTGATAAGGGCTGAAATGCTTGTGATTTCCCTCGAAAAGAGAAGCTATAAGGGCTGAAGTGCTGCTTGAACCCTAATTTTTTTAATACAGAGTACAGATTCTAAAGGCAGTCTTCATGATGTTTAACTTTGTTTTTAGACCTCTTTTTTTTTTTTTAATTTTATTATGATGGCCCCTAAACATTTGATATATTCACATCAGAAATAAAATTCAGACGACTTGAAACAGAAATGTCAGAATATAACATTTTGGTCACAATAGGAAGGAGAGTATAATACATACACAATGTATATTTCCAAATTAGCAAGAAAAGGTGAAGAGTGATTTCTTGTTAGGTTTTGTAGCTGAGAACCTTGTTTTGAGGAATGAACTGTTGGTGCTTCTCAATGTTATTTTACTGGTTTTCGTTTTTAGGATCCAGCTCCTCTACCTTATCTTCAGCACACAGACCCTTACACTTTTGACATCAATTTGCAAGTTGCTTTACAATGTATGTAGAACTATTCAATAATAATAAGATCGTTTGGAGTTAACAACGTACTAGTTGACAATGTAAATTGGCCACCTTAAAGAGTGTCTTAAAATGACGTTTTAAGATATCACATATCAAAATATGAGTAGTGACTCTTAACTGTGAACTTCTACCCTTGGGCTATTCTTAATGGCACAGAAGGCCCATTCATGGAAAAATTATAGTTATATTTTAGATTCATTATTACATGATTGGCTATATTTGTAATGGGAATATCTTGACAATTCCTCAAAAGCCTGGATGCGCTTTTGTTTTCAAGGTGAAAACGCTAAAGCACCTGTGACAATCTGTTCCTCGAATTTCAAGGTTAGTTTTTAACTTTCAGATAACATAGATACAACACACGCTCTCATTGGTCGATAGGTTTGTTTAGGTGAGAGTTTCATAATGAATACCTGATTTCGCGATTTTGGCAAGACACTTCTGCGTCGGATTTTATTTGTGCGATTTCAACACGCAAATATGAAAGTGGGGCATTACATTTCGCGATTCAAGCGTTCTCGACCTCATTTTACTTTTCAAAATACCTTAACTTTTGACGACTGCACGAAAGATAGTCGAGGGAGTTCTTACGAATCTAGCGATTCAGATGACTAGTAAGATGACTGCTACATTTCCTACTCCATATGCGAAATACACACAAATTAACGTCATTTCACAACAGAAGATACAAAATAGAACACACCAGTAAGACGAGTTAATTATTAGTTTTTTGTCGATGCCTGTCTTTCTGTTGTTGCGATTTCATGTTGCTCATTTTTTTTTCTGTGATGTAAATTTTCGGGAGGGGATTTAATTTCGCGTGTTTAAATTTCGGGAAGATCTTTAATTTTGCATTGTAAAGAAATCGCGGAAAGTATCACTAAGATAACTTTCCCATCCACGTTCTTTAGTCAGTCGGCTCTTCGAAGCACAGCTGAAGTTAGCCTAGTCTCCAACTGGGCAGAGGATAAATAAAAAGAATGACGGCCTGATCTCCTTTCATGCGCACTTTTTTCCTAGACATAAAATAAACCATGGCGCTAGCTTTGATAGTTAACGAGTATGAATGTTTCGCCTAAAAATCTAAACATGCATATATGTATTGAATTCATGGCAAACATGTGCATGGTTAAGGTTAACGAACTCTCAAATAGAAAAATGACAAGAATTCCGTAAAGAAGTGATACCTTTCTCCCTGTTCCCGTTTACAACTCAGTGAGATAGGTCTTTCATTTTTGTATGTTCGTTTGTTTGTTTGTTTGTTTATTTTGAATTATCAACCTTATACTAAAAGTTTGCCATTGTCTCAGCATATGTATTGGACACCTAAACAACAGTTAGTTCATCATACAGTGACTGGATGCAATGTTCGACCTGGAGACCTGATGGGCTCTGGCACAATCAGTGGAACGGTGAGATGACTGTATGGTAAACGTATGATATTCATATATTTACAGTCGGTAAGATAACTGATAGATGTAAATTTGACTTTGTTTTCTTAAAATTAACGTCAAATAACTTTATCATCAGGTCAGAGGAGAGTAGTCAGTCTGAATGATAAAGGCTGAAATTACGTCGTAATTTTGTCACACAAACGTCGTTCTGGTTTAATGGTGAAGTTCTTCTTACTACCGTACTGAATTTCTTTCTTATTTTATAACCAGTACGTGGATTTTTATGTTATCAAATCACTCGCCTTGACACGTTTCATAGAGTAACTTTTTCAATCATGAAGTTGTTTTGTTTCCAGACCCCTGACTCCTATGGCTCAATGCTAGAGCTTTCCTGGAAAGGTACTAAACCCGTGGATCTGGGAGAAGGAATTACACGGAAGTTCCTACAGGATGGAGATGAAGTGATTATGACGGGATATTGTCAAGGCAATGGCTACAGAGTTGGGTTTGGAGAGTGCAGAAGTAAAATTTTACCCGCTTAATGGTGATAACAATGAACAAAGTCACTGAAACTGGAACCGTAAGGATGATGGTTAGGAATGGGGTGAAGCATTTTGATGTAATCGAATAAACTAAACGTTATTTTATGATTTATTTCCTTGATGTAATTGACTTTTTTTTGAAATATTGATTTTTCTTTTCGAGAATTGACGAAAACCATTTTATTGCCAGTGAAACTTAAGTTGAATCCCCTTGATCGTTCTGTTAAAAGATACTGAACCTGTCGTCCTTTTAGACCAAAGATCTTAAATCTCGGGCTTATTATGACTCATGGAATTCTGCATCATCAATTAACTAGACTTGGGAAATGGGCGACTACGATTTTACTGAGAACACCATAAAGAGAAATACTTGATTGAATTTCTGTTTTCACATTATTAACATCTCAATCAGAGGACATAAAGACAAAAAAGTCCTGGAAAAGGCTGTAAAAAGACACGGAATAGTAAAGTTAGCCGTAATCTTTCTCTCCACTCTGCACCTCTTCAATTCCCGTTACATACAGTTCCCTTAATGCAAATAGGTGTTCTACATTTTACAGTTCTTCAAGAAAAAAAAAACTCCGTTCTGATCGACCACCCTACTCACTCTGTGTTTCGTGATAGATAGTCGCATGCGACGAGACCTTTATCACTTTAAAGTCACGAGCTTACCTTGTTGGGAAAGTTTTCAACGTACTTACTCGCTCCCATATCTCTGAATGACATTTCAATTGTCACGGGAAAGAAATATGAGTAGCCCTACTGCACGAGGTAAATAGTTTTAACTTTTCGTTTTCACTGCTCGCTGGACCTAAAAAGCTGAGCGCACGGAGACGGAGGCTTGATTGAGCGGAAAACTAGCGAATGTTTTTCGTGGGGTTTTAGTAATTACAGAAAAGCGCGCGCTCTGATTGGCCATGGATCACGTCCCTTCTTGCGATTCTTCGAGCGAAGTCAAAACAAAATCGACGCACAAATTTGCAAAAAAGGCTGCTACGCCCAAAAAGAAGGAAGAAGATAAATAAAACGTAATTAATATTAGGTTAACGAAAACAGGCTGAGTGAAGACTGTGAAATAATCCTTCTTTTCATGTTTTAAGAGTTTCAAATTCTCTTTCACGTTGGTATTTCTCTGCAAGATGCCTTCCATTTTATATACAGAGAAACCTGTATTAAACTGATACCATATTCAATGAACACCTCGAATAACGCCATGGACCGAATCACCAGCTGAAGCTCGACTTTGGCTCCTATTAATTGCATCAACTCCACTAAAATTACACTGAAAGGGCCCTGTTGGTTTCCAATCAGTAAAGGATCCATTGTAGCTTCCTTTGATAGCTCCTTTTGTTATTAAGTAACTCAGACGGAATAATGTTAATATCGATGTTTATTAAATCAGCAAATAATTTAAATCACAAAACTTAATATATAACTTAATGTTTCCTTGTCTAGAAACAACCTAATCGATCTTATACACCTTTTAAATATATCTGGTAACTAAAAAAGCCAAGCCTCTACGAATAATTGATCGTTTAAGAATTTCACTGTAATTTACAATATATTTCTATTCCGAAAAAATGAGCGTTTTAAAAAATTTTAACTGTAATAAACAACAGAATAAAGACCTATTCCGGCTGTTAATTACTTTACGTCTTCTTTTATGGAATTTTATTGGTAATTCTATGATAGGGAAGAATTAAATGAAAGAGAAAAATGTCATCAGCATTAGTAAGATACAGCATACACACAATCATAACCTCTCGAGTATGATGTATGTTGCTTTTTCACTACAGTAACCGCTGAATGTAACTGACTTGCGCAGGTGATTTGTAAGATGCGGATGATACGCATTTTGAATTCATGGGTCACGTGTCTAATAATGCTAAACGCCTACTGACAATGTTTAAAGCACAGTGCTTTCCGTTACTAACAAACTCGAAATAAGTATGAAGGCCCTTATGTTTGTCCAATCCTCGAGTTAAGTTTGGACTCAGGAATGTGCTAATAATTAACTTGGATGGTGCAACGAAGACTGGGCCTCACTCAGAGAAACATAAGCACTTGGTTATAGCATCTTTGTAAATATTAAGACTTTGCTTTGTTTTCTTCATAGAAATCCTTAATATCCCTTGATTAAAACGGATTTTTTTCTATTCATGAATTTTCCTTACAAAAAAGTGAGGAACATTTAGTTAGAAAAGCGTTTTTAACAAAATCAGGAGTCAAACCTTCCAGTGACTGAGGAAGAAATCGAGCATAACCAAGGACGGGTTAAGACGGGACGGGACAAGGACGGGACGGGGCGGGACGGGACGGGACGGGACGGGACGGGACGGGACGGGGTCATAACATCGCGGAGTTTGTATAATACAACTAGAGGGAAAAAGAGAAATCCACCTTAGAAGACTTGAAACTTTTCGCAATGATATGCGAAAGTCATGCCAACTAAATCGCCTTGTTAAATGTTTCCAAATATCTCCAGTGACTTCAGCCTTTCTCTAACTGTATCATGCATTCTTTCATTACTGCACAACTACATTGACTAACGGGTCGATGTGTCGGTCAATCATTGCTATTCACGTATGATTCCTTCGCTATACCTCTGTATCCTTTTGCATTTGTAGAGCGTCCATTTGATCCAAAATAAAGGTCACAGTATTTTGCCTCAAAGAGTTCAAATGATTTTGTAACAAGTTTAACTTGTGCGTAGTGGTTTCTAAGTCCTTTTGAAGTCGGTCATTCTCCGCCACGAGTGCTTCATTTTCCTGAAAAATTTTACAAACAAATATTAATTCGACAAAAAAGACACATTGCGAGAAAAAAACTTATAAATAACAAGGTCCTGGGAATACAACTTGTAACAATATTGCCCTTAAGTGACAAAGAAGATATTCTCTGTATGATAAATACATGGCTGCTTGGAGATACGAAATTTCTCTTCTCGTCTTCTTGAACACGGAAAAGACAATCCTCTACTGCTTACCTGTTGAGCATTAAGAAGCTTTTTGTACTGATCTACTGGGACATTAACACACTCGCCGTTAACAGACTTAAGTGAATCCTCAGATAAGTGTTTTTGAAGCTTCATTTTGTTTTTCCATTTCGTTATTCGTAAGGTCTCTGACTTATGAAGAGATTTACCATCGATTCCTGAAAAAGTTGGCAACAAATCAATGTCAAAAAAATAATGAGCAGATTAAAAGACCACTTTTACACTTAGTAACAATTATCAGAAGTCAATCAACTTTTGGTGTCCAGACAATGAAAGTGGGTGAAATTAATTGATTGTCATTACAACCATAAACTTACTAAGCACAACTGACCCTGGAATTGGTTCAAGTCTTAGTCCACGATAATCACTCTCACAATAGAAAGTTTGGGGTCAAATCTGAACACCCAAAGAGCTAAAAAAATCAACCAATAAACTGAGATTGATTGGATCTTAATCTAATAAAAAACACCCCGAAACAGCGCACTCATATTTCCGTATACAAACAACACAAAAACCATTTGTTGGCGTGCTAGCCATCATTTGGTAACGTTTCGTATCCTATAGGTGTTTAATTAAACAAAACTTTTAGTTGTGACCTACCATTCAATTGTGACGAAGGTTTTTGACGACATCCTCTAACTATTTCTCCTTTACAATTTTTGTGACAATTGATATGACAAACTGAGAAGAAACCAAAAATTTTTCATTGATTTAATGCCTTTACATTTTGTTTATAGAGTATATTTTGTTTCACTTTCTAGACATTGTGCTAAGCATCGTGTTGCATGTCAACTTACCTTTACATCTATATCCTTGCTTGATGACTCCCCACAGCTGGAGAAAATAGAATGAACATGACATGAAATACTGAGGAAGACACAGAGTGAACTAATGTTCAACTCAATGGACTCTGCAACGAATTGTACAAGGTTCAAACCCTTACTAGAGTCACAGTATTATTGTTTGGAAAGACACTTCATTTGGCTCCCTCAACTCAGGAGTTTAAGTACCAGCAAACGGATACACTGGGATCCCATCCAAGTGAAGTAAAAATACTCCCAGTCGCTCCATGTCATCAAAACTGGGATGGGCTTTGGAGGTTTGGCCCTTTTTCTCGTGTGCTTGCTTGCGAGGTTAGATGAGAGGATGGGCGAATGGGTGGTATTAATAACGAATGGACCTTTAATCAATAACACTTCATATGGCAAAAATAGAAAAAAAAACTTTTGGTTCCATTATATTGTTGCACAGAAATTCCTTACCATGCCAGCACAATGGTCACAAAAGGTTGGTGTGAAGTACGTCGTTTCTTGAAAGTTGTGTGAGAAGCCCTTGCTTAGTTCGTGACAGTTTGCTTTCATGAAGTAGTTCTTCATCTCGTCTCGACTGATAACACCGTCACTAAAAGATAACAATTTGGAGGGTAATTTTTAAAATTGAGCCATTTGAAATTAACCAATCGGCATGATAAGTCTCGAAGCACCCAAGTTCAAACTGAGTTCAGAGTCTCAATTGCTGCATTGAGTCGATATATAATTCTAGTAGAGACACTACAATTTGCGTACTATGATTTTCTCAGCGTTTATGTTTGCTTCATTCAGGCAACATATTAATTTAGCCTTCCATTATCTTTCGTGCGTGAGTAAGTGAGTGGTGCAACCAAATTAGTAAAATAGTTTTACCATAAGATGTTACACTTCATAATTAAGAAAAAAAAGTTAACAGTACATGGTCTTGCTCTGTCTGTCCGTGCGTGTATCAGAAACACACTTGTGTTTAAAGTGCGTGTGGGTTGTGTTAAATTATTACCTGTTAATGTCCAGAACTCCAAATGAATCAATAAAGGGAAAATTGGTAGCTATGGCATCAAACTCCTCTACTGATATTGAACCATCTTTGTTTGTGTCATAAATTTTGAAGACAGCCTATAAAGAATAAGTCAGAATTGACAATGATGATGATATCCACCCACTATTCAATTCTCTCTGTCCTGACGTCAGACCTTCTCAAACTCATGAACATTTGAGGATGGTCCAAGGCTATGATCAAAGCAGACATTTAAAATGGCATCCTCATACAGGAAACTGAGGGGATACTGTTAGGTACTTTTAGTATTTGGAGTGAAAAACATACAGGTACCCGGTTGCCGGAGAGAAAAATGGTTATTTTAAGAAACAAAGCTCATTTGGGTTTATTTTGCTTTAGGAGTTTCAATAGACTGAGCTTACCCTTGTTTCATAAGTGAACTTTACACGTACAGTTATATGTGATAACGCAAAGTGATGGCGAAAAGGCAACGTACATGTTTTCAGAATTTGAATTCTTAAGATTAACACAAACCTTCTGATGGATGGTTTCAAGAAAAGTTACGTCAGTGCAATTAACTTTCTCCTGGGTTCTTAGCCGCTACATACAGTGAATTCAGTTTGTTTTACATGAACCGATTTGACTGTAATTACAGTTGTACGTACCTCCACCATGGATGAGACATGTCTCTCAGTTGTCTGAGGGTCAGGCGTTGTGTTCAATAGTCCAGCTGCCCAATCAGCAAACATCACACCTTGTTCAGTATTTGACTCTACACTTCCGAGACTGCCACAGCTCTTTAAGGTAAAACAAAACCTCTTTGAATGAAATGTTCTCTGAAGGCTTTGCTATTACCTTTTGTCCTCTTGCTTGGAGTTCTACCAACCTTGCTACTTAGCATTGTATCACTGAGAGATACAATGACGAGTTTGATCATTTGCGGTGAGTGGTACAACATTTGTATATCAATTTGTTGTTGAGGAAGTTAGGTAAAGAATGTTGGAACAATCTATAGAATCTAAAGAAGACAAAGACACCAAATGTTGTCATAACTGCACTTACAGAATGAGTGTGGTTCTTTGGTTCTCTAGCAAGTGATAATTCATATAACTCTTCCTCAGTGACTCTGGGTTGCAATGACACCTAAAAACAAAGTGCAAAGTAGCACAGTTGCTCCAGGGGTGCACAATAGGTAAGAGAAGTTACTGGAAATCTGTTCTTGGATTAAAAGGCAATTTATTGCAAGCCACAATTTCAAGATTCTCCTTTAATCTAGTTCCAAGACCTTAATGTCCAGATAGCTTACATGTTTACCTGAACAGTCCATATTTGCCTTTGTTTAACTTATTAACTGCAGCCAAATGATACATTCCCTGGATTCTGTACAGAAAGGTCCAGGTAAGGTTGCTGAGTTGTATTTCTGAGTCTCACTTTACTCAAGAATAATATAAAAGGCTGCTAAGGAAACTTAAAGCCAAGGCTGTAGCCCTGTGATGAATCCATGATGAAATTACCAATACTCCTTGCCGCTTTATGATACTGGGATAAGCTAAAGTATGATTGGCCTCTTGGCTTGTATCATGACTTGTCTTATATAACTTGATTTCAAATGTATTGCCAACCCTTCTGACAACTCATTGAGCAAAGTACCTTTCACCTGTGTCCAGCCACTTTGCACAGAACAAATAATGCACTGTCAGTATTGTTATTATGAATGGCCAACATACCCGCAGCATTTTAATAAGTTCTGAATTTGGTTGTACTGATGGTGCAGTGTTTTGAACCAGCAGCACATGTGACATGATGTGTGACAGACGCACCATCTTTTGCAAATTAAGAAGGTGTCCATCAACACTGTCAGGTAAAACAACTTGCAGTGCGATGAGATCCTTCAACTGAATGCCTACGGAAAGTGCAAAACGTTAGTTTTGTCAGTTATCTAACATTATAAGTACATACAGTATGCATATCTTTTTATCTGCAGGCATTTTATAAGCAAGTTGTGTAAAATCAATGACATGAAAAAGAAATGAACCACTGTTGAAACTCACCTCTGGATTAAGTTGCACCAATGATATGGATATGAGTAAAAAAAAAAAAAAAAAAAAAAAAGAAAAAAAAAAGAAAAAAGAAAAGAAAAGAATGCTTTGAGTGAGCCACTTCACTAACTACACTGTAATATAAATCATAGTATACTGGTATACATAAATCAAGTTCAGTAATCTCAGTAAGTCAATTTTTAAACTCACAATGGTATGTTATAAGTGTAGCTAAGTAATAGAACTGTAAACATATGAATCAATAGGTGCTTACAAAATAGGGATGTGGAATCCAGTAGACGTGTTTAAAGTTTTCCTGTAGGATGCATAGTTTCCATCTGAAGACAATAACTCCATTAACAGCTTAAGGTACTAAAGTAAAGAAAGACACAATAAGCAAAAACAGTGCAGCAAACATCCATCACCTCTACCAAGTAAGAATTTAGTTATTTTCTAAACTGATAAATTCTTCATTCAACACAGATTGAGCAGTACCTCTTTACAGTCTTGTGAGAGTAACTCTTGAGTTTGCCGTAAGCGAGATAATGCTGTGTTTGTTAGTCCACCTGCCACTGCCATTAAGCCATTAAAATTCTGGAGTTCCTTTAAATGCTTCAAGTTTAGAGATATGAAAGTTAACAAACAAAAAAATCACTTATCAGTACGTATTTCACACCACTTAAATAATAAGCAGGTTGATATTTTCACAACACACTATATCCTTAGTGGGAGATGCGGAGGCCTTATGGTTGGTGCACTGGACTCTAAGTCAAGAGGTGAAGGTTCAAGACCTAGCCAGTTTAATATGTTGTATTCTTGGGCAAAACACTTTACTCTAAGCCCAGGATCCTATCAGCCCAGGAGTCCTTCATCAGACCAGCAGTGTGCAGTCGAAACATCATGATTCACATCATAAGTAACCACATTATGAGACAATTAATAATACTTTATTATGAATGTACTTTACCACAATGAATGAGCACAGCCCTTTTTAAGAAAGTATAAAGGGTATCGGTAAATTTCTTGGGAGATCTGGGCAAATACTGGGGGGTAACCTTGCAATGGACTGGCATCCCATCCAGGGGGATAGTGATACTATCCCCTAGTGATACCCACTCCCGGTGAGGAAACCAGGATTAGCTCCAGCTGGGTGGACCACTTGGCTCAAGTACAGACTTCACCTTTTTTTTCATTCTTCTTCTTAATTGTGTTTTATATTTTGGTCATGTTCATTTTAAGACAAATACATTACCATCAAACTCAAAACCCTTTACACCGGAATATGATAAAGAATACCTTCTATAGTATTTTTGGATACAGGTATCATTAAGAAAAAGAAAAGAATAGCAAGAATTACAATGAACAACATGTACATTGTGAGACGCAGGTTGATAGTTAATTTGTGGTTCATACTTGTATATTCATATCTCCAATAATAACAATAATAATAATTTATAACATAGCGCACGTGTTTGCCCTAAATAAGTCCTATTGACCCGCTATGAACAAAATTTTATTTAGGCACGCCCGTGCATAAATAAGATGATGTGAGCATTTTTTTAATTGGCTTCAGAGTTTCCATCCTGTTACACTGCAGTGCAGTTTTCCTTCTCTTTGAAATATGGAAGAAACCAGCAAAGAACTGCCCAATTTTTCTATTGGCATTGACCTTTTAGGTCCTGATCCAACAAGCAACAAAAATAAAGCTGAAAAAACTCGCAAGTTGCATGTTTCGCAAATTTGTTGGAAGACCAGCTGCAGCAAATTTTGGCTTTGATTTTCACCATTTTCCCCATAAATTTTGAGCTTTTCATTCAGAGTTATCAGTTAACTGGATCAAATGTTCTTGCTCGAACCAAAGTTTTGACCAGCCAATAGGGACGTTCATTTATTTTTTTTGGCGTTGTGAGAATTTTGCACTCTATCACAATGAAAGGCTTCTTCACGCAGATCCTTGTTGTCGCTCTGTTATAACAGAATTTGCTCATGCTTTCAGCTGTACGTATATAGAGTTATGGATGCACACAGGAAGTTTGGAGAGCATGAAAAATGCGTAAGAGTAGCTTGAGGTGCAGCTGAGAGCAATTCTAGCTTTTTGAGTGCATGAACAAATTCTCAAACTAATAAAAGTAAAATCATATCAAATATCCCCTACATATTTTGTAGAGGAGGTGCTAGTCAGTGTACATTATTGAACCGAAACAGATGAAAATTAGGCGCATGTTCCACATAATGACTTTGGCTGTATCATCTCAAAGTTTAAGTTTTAATTATATAAACTGCAGTGTTGTACAAGGATTTCCAGCCCTGAGAAAAGCCATAATAACACAAGTAAAAAAATATGATAATTTTCCACATGTGTTTGTAATCACCAATCTGCTACTGACACGTGACTCGCCTTTTGCGCCACTCTGTCACGTTAGTGAATGAATGGCAAAACCTTTACCATTCTCAATACAAGGTCCTTTGTGAAAAGTTTCTGGGATTATGGTTGCTAAATCACTGGAAAATGTATGTCATTTACAGACAGTGATGTTCAAAATTTCCTAAAAGGGGAAGAAAATCCAAAATCCAATAATTGACAACTGAAAGATTGTCCACAGGCCGACTTTGGCTATGCACCTGAAAAGATTTCTTCTGTCTGTAAGGCAAAAAGTCATTACCTGAGAATTTTGTAAATTGAAAGTAAAGCCCATTGTTTGTTTTGTAATGATTCAATGCATTTTTCTACCTTGAACCTATCACCAATGCAGAATCAATCTGACCACTAAGTCCAGGAACCAAGTGGCATATTTTTCATATGTGACACCAGTGGTGATATGGAGCAAAAACGTTACAATTCCTGCCTTTTTATACTTTGTTGAATGAACTTGGGTTTTTTGTTTTTTGAAATATTGAATAGTTGCAAGATTTGTTGTGGTAAGCTAAGACCATGTAAATTCATTTTCCGAACAACAAGAGAACAAAAACACCAAAAAAGAAAGCACTAGATGATCTTAAGACTGTCAAGGAATTTCTAGAAAGTTGCAGTGAGACAAAGGAAACTTTTTGTTCTGTTCATGCTGAACAATGTTCAAAGGTTCGAAGTGAGGCTGAAAATAAAATTATTTTACTATTTAAGTAAGAGTCAGTAATCAAATTTTCATAACACTTGTGAAACCAGTTCACATGTATTTTGGCCTAACTAGCAGTGTTACACATAAATCTTTGCAAAATTTGGGCCCCAGGTATTTTGTTTCTATTGATACCCAGTATTTGTTTCAAAGCCAGCTTTTCAATCTCTACCATGTATATTTATTGTCTATATAATAAAAAGAAAATTACATGTTAGCTCAAAGATATGAAGGTCATGTTCTCGTAGCACAAATAACATCTCACCTGTTTGTTGCACTCATTTGTGAGATATTGCTTGTGCCACTCAAGCATATAATACATATCTCCTCACCACCAAGTAATATCCTCTTTTTTTATTATTCATTAATAAAATTGACTTTTCATGTCTGTAAAGGGCTATTGTGTTTATATAATAAACAAAATAATACATGGTTGCTTGTAGATATTATATAATTTCTCTTCTCATGTTCAACTTGAAAAGAAATTCCCTATTTACATGTGCCCATGCATTATTCCCTATGTCTCACCCTAGCTGTTTGTTGGAATTTCTCCATACATATAGCTCTCTCCTGAGGTGTAACACAGTTCAGAACCATGGCCTGCACCCATCTTGATACACCATTGAATAGTGCCACATATCTCTCAAGGTAAGTCGTATTCATTAACTTCCCAGTGCAAACATAAGTCTTCCACTCTGAAAACTAATTAAAAATGATTAAATTTAAATTAATAAAATGCTGATTACATCTGCTCTTCAATCAACACACTAACAAAGCAAGTGTAGTTTAAACTGTTTAAAAACATGGCACAGTCCACAGGTGAACTTGTACACAAAAAAAAAAACAGAAAGTTACATCCATACCCTTGTAGTTGTCCCTTTTTGTTTACAATTGATGGAAAGTAGTATTCTTTCAGGGTGTAGACCTTCATTTATTTATTTTTACTGGACTAATTATTGTCAAGTAAAGTAAAACCTTTTTTTCAGGCATACCAAATATATGGAAACAAAGAAACTTGCAATATCCACAATGCTTACTGGTATTCTGCGTAGCATTCTATATTCAAGGTAAGTCAACTGCTCTGCAATAGTGTGGGCTGATAAGTCCTTGAATGCCAAAGAACTTTTTCGTTGATCCAATGGTGGATGTTCAGCACTCAGGGTGCGATTTCTCAGCTCCTCAGCACATCTATTAGCGTAAAAAAACCAAAATACAACACTTATGAGTTTTGCATTCTGGCTTGCATGACACTGTTCATGTAGTTTAATTTGTTTGTAGACAAAATTAAAATGGAACAAAACTCAAAACAAATGATAGAAATGGAGAAAAATTGGGAAACCAATTAATGACCCAACAACACTTTTCTCAAATTTATCTCAATTTGTATCAGACTGCGACTATCAACACTGTGTTGCAATTTGTCATTGAAGTTAATATGACTTTAAATTTACGAAAAGAAAATTAAATTTACCTGAAATATTGTGACCAACACTGTACCTTTCTAAACTTTTCAAATACTTAAATGTCACTTTTCTATCAAAATTCTCAGAGTAACTACAATCAACTTTAACAAAAAATATTTAAAAAAGTTGATATTTACATGTTGGACAGATGAATGATTTTCTTCTCTTCCTCGCATTCCACTTCCTCCATAAATTCCTTTACTAGTAAAGTGAGTTCTTCATCTTTTTTGAAGTCAGAGCAGTAATTTGATATCCAAAATCTATAATTCATATACAAGCATTTTCATTATAAAATAAGGGAATAAGGGATGTATGTGTATTGAAGAACCAATGCCTGAGGGAATTGACATTGTTATGTCAGAGCTACACCTCCTCATAAGCATTTTCAGTAGTATGTGAAGGTTAAGAAAAGTTTGTCACAGGAAATGTTGCAAAATTAAGATCACAACAGCCCTATAATATATGAAACCTTATCAAACTACAACTACATAAGTATATATCATGTTCACATTCTCTAACACCAACATGTAAATGTCAGGTATATCTACAAATGTTTGTACAAATGTGGAGGGTGGTGTATATTTACCCAACAGCAGAGCAGATACTTCTTTTAAATTTCCTGATGTGTTCACTATTCACAAGTGAATGATCTGAGTACCTGTAACAGTTGAATAATTAAAGACACATTTTTAAAGATACATTTTTTAGTAATTAAAGTTAGGTGACATATTACATGTACATGTAGATGGACATCCCTTCTACTTGCTTGATCTAATCATCACTTCTCCGAAAAAAAGCCACCAAAAATCAATATCAATTCAAAATCACAAATTTTCACAATTATTAATGCCATCTGTACAGAAGTAACATGAATTACCAACTGGCTTATACTTATTTATGTTGAAATAAAACAGGGACAAATTTTTAGTGACCATACCTTTGCATGAACTTTCTAAGTAATTCCTCTGATGAAATAAACCATTTGTGTGTCATGAACACAGCATTTGAAAGAAAAGGCTCTGGTACATCTCCACCTAAAACATAACAAAGAGTTCTGATATTAAAAGATAAGTATTTGAAAGCTGAGTATCATAAATACCTCTATAAACTGCCTGGTAGTTGGCTTCCAAAGATACTGTAGCTTGTTACTTGGTTGGAAATATATGGTACTTTCTGGCAACACAGTGCAAATGAATGCAGATTGTGCACCCGCCCACTGCCATGAAAGCAAGCATAAAATTATTTCCTGTCACCAAAAAGATCATCACAGTTTCCGATTTTTATACATGTATCTACACAATGCCCCCCCCCCCCCTCAATACAGTAACCAAATTTTGATATTAATGTCTCTTAGGAAGTACTGAATCATGGTTAACAAATCTTTTTATTTCTTTTAATAAAAATTTTGTTAGTTCAGAGAATCTGGCGTTATATCAACCAGTAATTGTCACTTTCTTTATTCTTATCATTTGTTTGCTTGGAGTTGGATTGACATTGAACAGAAAAATTCAGTTTTGGTCACTCAGGGGAATTAAAGGTTAACAGCTAATGGAGTGCTTTGATTTTTTCTCCAGAAATCTCAAGGTTTTCTTTCCTGTTTCCGCTGTATCTCAAACCATACAAAGGCATCTAATAGCAGACAAGGCACAATTACTTCCTATCACTTGCCTTTTCATCCTTTTTTTTTCTTAAGCAATGTTTACACCAACATGTTCCTGAACTAATAAGATTATGTCAAAGAAGGGTTTTTTTACCATTACAGGAAGGAAGACTTGTCCTTTAACACCTATCAAGTCTTAAACAATTTCCTTGAAAATGATATTGTCTTTCTCAAATAATTAACACTGACAAACATCGGCCTGGATGAGGCAAGCTGTACAAGCATTTACAACTAATAAGTTAATTTTCGTCACAAACACAACTTAAAATCCTTTAGAAACAACAAAATGGTAAATTTAACAAAACAATACAGAGCTTAAAGTTCCCACCCCGAGTTTAAAACAACCTTTAAGTACGACGACAATATCAAATCTCCTCGTTCGTGACGGAGAGTATTAATAATGAGATGAGAGATAGCCTGTGTGCTGAAAACAGTCTTTTCATCAAAAGCTGAGCAACGCTAGAAATACCATGTATAATTAATAAAAAACTGTACCTAAACAGAGGCATTGAAGCACTGAACTTCGAAAAAGCTTAACATATTCTTTCTTACATAACAAATTCCCAAGTGTTTGTGAGGATAATGAAAATCTACGAAAAAAAATTAACAACTGTGTGTGGATGATAAATACACACACAAGAACACCCACCGTATATCAACAAAAACAATGGATTACAAAGCTTTGTGAAATGCAGCATGAATATCGGATTTTCCATAAGCCCGACTGTGACAACAAACATACAGTTTTCAGAAATAACGAGAGGGTTTCGAAACGACTAGCATGAAAACTAACTTACTGAATTCCTCCGCACAGTAATCAACCAGTTTTTCCAACGAAGAGACTTGAACGCTTAATCGGTCCAGTTGGCTGTTGTCTAATTCGTCACAACTGATAAGATCAGAGCTTTCCTCATCATTCGTCGATTCCATTCTATCTGATAATCTTTCACGACGTGATTTCTGGCGGAATTAACGGAGATACTGCGATCATAATGTCATCGAATTGGATGCATCCCAAAACAGAAAATGTGATGCCAATAAGTAGGAAATCCAATGATTTTCAAACTGGGAGAACACTGAACCTCAAAATATTAAATCTTAAGCATTATAACTACCACAGTCACCGTTTAATCTGTAAAATGTATTCTAACCAGCCACCAAAGCACAAATCCATCCACGAAACAAACAAATATTCTGTTTTTAAAGAATTACCTACTTCTCGATTCGCCATCATTTAATAATATCGAAATGTTATTTTGATTCGATCGCGTTAAAACGTCACTTACCTCTTTGAGAAACTAAAAATAGCTTCAGATTTACGAAGTTCATTCTGCAATCAACACTTTATATCGGCACTATCGAACGTCATCAACCCTACTGCACACAGCTATAAATATTACGTTGGGAAGAAAGCGTCACATTATCTCTCCTTAATGAATCCCTATCTCCAACAACACTCGTTACATGAACGACTACATCCGGTCACGTATTAAAACTTCGTCCCCAGGGTTTTTCCGTCTCCGTGAAAAGAACATTAGCCATGTGGAAGGAGATCCCATCAGAGGGAGGGAAAAGTTTGGTGCCGAGTGGAAAATGAAAAAAAAATGTAATCATTTGCACCGCAGTACATGAAGAATGAAAACCAGGAAAACTGAGTTACGCTAAACAGATGATGAATTCGAGAGATTTCAAGTACTAAATTGCATAAATACTAGTGGTTCCAGACGCAACCGTGACCGTCACGAGCCACGAAGTCGTTGAAGATGTTGTCCACCTTTATTTCTATTCATGCGAAATATTACAGCCTCGTCCTCAGAGTGTGACTTAGCCCTTAGCCCAACTTAGCCCTGCCTGATATGTGGTGCTGACCAAATCATCTGCGGAATCTTAAGACCAGCTTAATAATGTCTCTGAAATTCTTTGTAAGAGTTGCTTAGTTTCTCCCTCCTCGACTTCCTATTCGCGAGTCCTCAATCGTGATTTTTCGTTTTCGATTCTTCATTCCCTATTCTCCTTTTTGGATTCCACATTCGAATTTCTTCCTTTCCCATATCCCACTCTCCCTTTTCGGTTTGTGTTTACGAATCCCCATTCCCGATTCCCAATTTTTCCGATTGTCCCTTCCAAATTCTTCCTTTCCTTTCCCCATTCTCGATTCCCCATTGGCTATATTTCATTCCCAATTCCTCATTTCCTAATCTCAATTTCTCACATATTTCATTCTCTTCCTCGTTCCTGATTTTCCATCACCGTTCCTAAAATTTCCGATTCTCAATTCATGGTCTCTCGTTGTTGAAAATATAATTTTTTAATTTTTTTTTCCGTGATCTTTTTTTAAAAATTCATTCCACCTGCGATTAACCGGCTTCTTATTTGATATCATCCACGGTAAAAAAATTATTTCAACCATGGCCAAACGCTATTGTTGAAGATTTTAAGGGGAACAAGACAAAAATAGTTGCTCTCTCTGCTAATGCGTTTCCAAAAAATGACTGCTTAAATAACTTGAGTAAAGCCAACAATGAAGAGGTTCTCTCGAGCTCTCACTTGCAGATGCATTCCTTAAAAACGTAACAAAAAATAATATACATACCCGAACACTAAGACGTACCTATGCAAAGGAGAGTGGAACAGAAACTTCCCAATTCAACGTGCCACAAGTATAGGTCATCGGCTTCCCCACGTGGTTTTCATACGCGAGGAGGTTGTGCGAGCACCCCCCGGAACGAGAGACAACAGCTTCTCGCAACTGGAGAGGAGAACTGTGCTTGAAGGAACACTGCTTGAAGCCCAAGCATGTTATAACCAGCGAAGAAATTGTTTCATTTTTGGATTATTCTCAAACGGGGTAAGTTTTAAAGCAAAATTCCAGTATACGAATTTCGTGTTACAATGATGGAAGAGAGAAATATGAACCTCAAGTGGCTCAAACTTTTTAAAAGTTTTTTCACTTGAGTTCTTTCAACACGAACCAAGCGTAGAAAAATATAAGCGCAGCATGGATGAATTCAGTAAACAATCAGATTCGAACCCATGAAGATCTGCGAATACTCAACTTAAGGTGCAGCGAAAAAATTCTCTAACCAACTGAGCTATCAAGCCAACTGGGAGCTGGTCACTTTTTTCAATTTTTTAACGATACTTTAATTATTGTTTCCATATAATTCTGCAATACTCTAGTCATGGTTTCCACTTTGCAGAAGCCCAAACATAAGACAAGAAATAAGCATAAGAACATAAGAAAACGCTTTAAAAGGCGAATGACGAATGCAGCCAAGATTTTGTCTGAACTAAACTAGGTACGTGATGAAACATAAATTATTTTGGCTCGACAAGTATTATACGTAGGCGTCCAACATAGCTGCATTGTAGTGGTCTGTAAAACCCTCAGTTTAATTACTGCACTGCTGTCGTGCGTTAGGGGACTGGAATGGAACTGATGAGTGAGCTTATTTTGATAAAACAAGGCACCATATGATATGATATGAAGTTTATTTAAACTCTTCAGAGAGTCATAAGGTAATATTTGTGAAAAGGCAAAATTGGCATCAAGCAAGAATTTTCTGTATATGTGTTTTTAAAATTATTTAAGTGTTGGAAAATGAATAGAAATAGTGTAGAGGCAAAAACCATTCAGTAAGAAATATCATAAGCTAGTTGATCATTTCCTATTTCTTTGGCAATCATATTTTGTAATTAGAGTAAGTAATTCTACATTTTTTTATAATTTAGAACCTTTAACACCTCTTTCTTGAAAGCAACTAAAGGTGTAAACAACTTGTACTTTTCATCCTCCGCAATAAATTTACAATCAGTTCATTTGTATGAACAGCATGTAGCTCTTTTGGGAGGGGGAGGGTTACCTTAGGTACGCCCTTGCTTCTCTGCAACAATCTTTACTTTACTCTTGCTTTACTCTGCAACAATCTTCAAAGGCTATTTTCTCTTTAGATATATTTTAAAGAGTAAATCTAATCCAGTCAATGGGTTCTCTTTAATTCTTTATTACCAATCTTGTTTTTGTTTTCCCCGATCTTAAACATTTATAAAGTTTTATGTAAAAAGGCGTTTTGGAAAGAGTTAAGAACCCGAAGGTACATGAGTATGCGGGATCTGTTTCACGTAATTCAACATGATTCGCTAGTTAAGTGAGAAATAATGACAATGGTCAAAGATTGTCACCATCGTAAGCTAGTGACCAACACTTTCCTTGTGGCACCAGAGCTAGATCCAAAGCTAGTAAGTTGTGTTAAGAGCGTGTCCACGAGAGCACCGGGCAGTCGTGCTACATGCCATCTCACCGATTTCAATGAAACTTTGCTTTTTAGTTTAAAGGGTCTACCCCAAAATTTCAAAAGACAAACTGGTCTCTGTTTTGATTTTTCCGGGGGGAGATAGACCACCCCCCTGGTTTTTCTTAGTTTTCACCAAGGAAATCGCTTTAAAATGGGTAAAACGTATGAAGTTCTCACTGCGATGGTATTCAACCAATTACTCTGTGGGATTGCACACATATTTTTACATCCTTAGTTAATGTCCGCTGCAAGTATCAGTCAATTTGATGAACAGCTTGTCAATCAACAGAGGCTAATATGCGACTGTGTTTTTAGACTTTTCGATTAATCCAAATATTTAACTATTTTTATACTTAATAAGTAGTAAATAAGGTAAATCAGATAGCAAACCCGTCAGCCAGTCAGTATATCAGTCAATTGGCTAATCACTTTCAAGCCGACGGAATGAAGAAGCCAAGTTAAGAGTCATGAATCGAAGACAGATGACATTGTTTTTGTTTAATTTTTTGCCCCCGCAGGGTTTTTGGCCCCAGAGGGCCAAAAACCCGAGGAGGCACCTTAGGACTCCCCGCGTAATATAGAGGAAGACTGGAGAAGAGGGAATGTGGGTATTTTCGGTAGATCATAACCAGAAAAAATCTCGATTTGATCGCTTGCACGGCCGCAAGGTATCAACGTTTTTCCCGCAAATGGTCATGGGCTGCCAGTAAAAAGACACGCGCGCGAGGACTTTTACGATCGGCGTCTTTGACACAAGATTTGTCCTAGTATAGAGGAAGACTGGAGAAGAGAGAATGTAGGTGTTTTCGGTTGATCGTAACCAAAAAAAATCTCGATTTCGATTTTTGATTTGATTGATGATGGTACTGTAGGGCGGGGGCAGCTCTAGTGAGAACTATAACTAGTATAGTCAATAATTAGTAAATAAGGTAAATCAGATAGCAAACCCGTCAGCCAGTCAGTATATCAGTCAATTGGCTAAACACTTAATCAGGCAGTCGGTATTTCTGTTTTCCGTTAGCCAGCCGGTCAATCTGTTAGCAATACAACCACCCAGCCCGGCGATGGGAGTGAGTCAGTAAGTCTCACGACTAGGCAGTCTGTAAATTGGTCAGTCAATCAGTCAGCCTTTGAGCTAATTGTCAGTGATCAAGAAAAATTAGTCAGTAAAACTGCCAACTATTGAAGCAGATAGTCAGCTAGCAAGTGAATGAGTCAGTCAATCAGTCAGTCATTAAGTCAACTATTGAGTTGGCGAGTTTTTGAATGAAAGATTGAATGAGTCAGCGAGGCAGTCAGTCGATTAATCATTAAATCGATCCATAAGTACGTCAGACGGCCAGTCAAAGCGTTAGCCAATCAATCAATTAGTTTTTTTGGAGTCAGTCAAATCCTCAGTGACTAGGTGAGTTTTGATATTGCTGTCCAAAGTCTCTTACTGTGAGGAGTTAAAATTTTGTCCCTGATGCATCAAAGTTAGAGATCGCAGCTCTAGGCTATTGGCTGTGTCTTCTTTTTGCTCAGTTGGAAACCTTTCATTTCTTTACAAAAAAAACAAAAAAAACAAATGCTATCAACGAAACCTGACAGCTGAAATATGAATGATTTTATTCCTGACCTCATCATCATGGTAACCTTTATAACCCATTATTTCATCTCTGAAAATCGTCAAAAAATCTTTGGGCACTACCGTATTTTTGTCTTGGATGTCTTTTAAAATCTGCGACTATGACAAGTTTCTCTCAACCACACCTGTCACGCAATTCTTGCTTTAGGCGGTCACTTGACGAAATAAACCTACATTTTTTAGCTCTTTACACAAGATGATTGATCAAGAAAGGTGAAAAATGTGAAAAACTTTCGAGATTTTTAGTAGGAATGGAAAATTTCACGTTTAGAGAGATGCATGTAGGCGAAAAATCAATGGGAAAATCGTAGCGTTTCTCTCTTCAGTCGTTTATTACTTTGAGGATTTGCTAAAATCAGGAAATAGGGCTCTTGTATAGAACAAAACATTCATTAGCTTATAATTTGATCGTCTATCATTATTATCGCACAGTTTACAGTAAGGAAACTATAACAGGAGAGGAGATTTTAAAGTCACATGTCGCGTGCTTGTTGACGTACAAGTTCCCAAGTGTAACAATTTCGGCTTTTCCATACCGCGGATGA